ATTAAACTCAATTATTCTCAGAACTCGAGCAATACAATGATTAACTGCTGTGTGTCAAATAGTCAGCAAGACTTTTGCTATATGGCTCAATATCCATTTTAAAGCATTATGCTTGGAATCTGTATACCAATCTGTATACCAGTCATTCTATCTGATCCCTTTCTCCTACAAAGCTACATCTAAAATACTTTTTCTGACTATTTTTTACCTGTAAGGAATGAAATGGATTTTGTAAATTCTGGGTTGTATTTGTCCCTAAATATTTGAAAACAATGTTTTTAATATATTCACTTTCATTCGAGTTCTTTTTTTTTTTGTTTTGTTTTGTTTTGTTTTGTTTTTCGAGACAGGGTTTCTCTGTATTGTTTTCGAGGCTGTCGGTCCAGCCCAGCCTCGAACTCACAGAGATCCGCCTGCCTCTGCCTCCCGAGTGCTGGGATTAAAGGCGTGCGCCACCACCTCCCGGCTCTCATTCGAGTTCTTATGATAGGCTTTTTTTCTACTTATTACTGCTTTAAGAAGTCATAGCGTGGCAGTGTTAGAATATAAGGTCATTTTTTTCACAAAGAAATAAGACTATGGAAGGGACTGACTGAGTGACCACTCATGATGAGAACATACAGATTTCTTATGGCAGCGTAAGTGTCCCACCAAATATAGCAGAAGGTAAGCTGCTTTTGCATGGAACATGGCACAGCAGCACTTTCCCAGTTTAGTTCACACATCACCCAGACTTGAGGAGAGGGGACAGAGATGTAACATTTAGCCTTCCTGCCTGCCACCTGGTTCCTGTTGCTGCTTTCAGCCCCCAAATAACACATAAGACACTGTATTAGTTATGAAGCTGTTGGCCATTGGCTTGGTTTCTTATCGGCTAGCTCTGTGATTATTAATCCATAATTACTAATATATACTTTATAAGAATTTATCTTTTTGAGGACGCACTCCTGAGTGCCTGTTGCTCCACGGAGATCACACAGCGAGAGCTCTCCTAACTACAATTCCCAGAATCCTCCTAGACTCCTAGTCCCACCTATCTTGCTTCCCTATTGGCCAACAGTGCTTTATTCAAACCAATTAGACACATATTTTCAGAATGACGTGTCCTAACACAGAGACCCTACGCCCAATATGAAATCAAATTTACAATATTAAAAAGTATATGAGGGTGATAGATGATTCAGTGGAAGCCATTTTTGGATAACCTAATCCACTATAGGATTCAGGGTCATAGCAAAGATATCAGGAACATTGCAGTTTCCATAGATTCATCTTAGTTCTACTTATTGTCTTGTTTCTCTCCTGTTTCTGTGATAAATAGTCTGATAAAAGCAACCTCCATTTTCTGTCTTAGTTTCTTGTATGATGAGATGATAAAATAATCCTGACCAAGAGCAATTTAAGGGAGGATGGGTTTATTTTAGCTCAATGGCCCAGATTGTAGCCCATCATGGCAAGGGATTCACAAGAGCAAGAACTTGGAACATCTGTTCATGTTATATCCATGGTCAGGAAAGAGCAATGGATATATGAATGCCGATTCTCATTTTCCCCCTCTACTCTTACACAGTTCAAGGTTGTCTGTCCACAAAAAGACAAACATGGTATGTACTCACTCATGGATTTTAGATGTGGATCAGGGGGGTGTCAGCCTACAATCCCAGTGCCAGTGAGTCTGGGAAACAGGGAGGTTCCCCACAGAAGTAGAATGAGGCAAGATCTCCTGAGCAGATTGGGAACATCAGGGGAGGGGAGAGGGAACCAGGAAAAAGAGAGGGGTATAAGAGGAGGGGAGAAGAAGGCATGGGGGAGCAGGAAGGTTGAGTCTAGGTAAGAATAGAGGAGAGCAGGATGAGAGATACCATAATAGATGGAGTCATTATAAGCTTGAGAAAGCTGACACTAGTGAGATCTTCAGAGATCTGCAAGGATAACACCAACTGGCAAACTAAGCAATAGTGGAGAGACTACATTAATAGCCCCTCCTTGATGATAAGGTTGATGATTACCTTATGTGCTATCCTAGAATCTTCATCAAGTGACTGATGGAAGCAGAGACAGATACCCACAGCTAAACAATGAACTGAATTTCTGGAATCTAGTGACAGAGATGGAGGAGTGATGAGCAAAGGGGTCAAGACCATGATGGTGAAACCCACAAAGACAGCTGACTGGATAAGGGGGAGCTCTTGAATCCCAGACTGATGGCTGAGAGGCCAACAGGGGACTTATCCAGACTCCATGAATATAGTGCCAGTGAGGAGACCACAGGAATCACTGTGGCCTTGGATAGTAGATCAGTGTTTACCATGGTGTATGAATGATCTTTGGGAGTCCATTCCAAATAGAGGGATGCTTTCTCAGCCAGAACACATGGGGAAGGGCCTAGGTCCTGCCCTGGATGAAATGACAGACTTTGGAGATTCCCCCAAGGATGGCCTCACCCTCCCTGGGAAATGATGTGGGGATGGAGTGGGGGTTGGGGGGTTGGTGGAGGGACAAGGGATTAAGCGGTGGGAGAGGGATCTGGGATTGACATGTGAAGCATTCATGTTTCTAATTTAAATAAAAACATATATTGTGGGAAAAAAGAAAATATAAAAAATTTTTAAAGATTGTCTATGAGAATGTACCATCTACAGTGGGCAGGTATTCTCACATCAACTGACATAATCAACATAACCCATACACATACTTATAGGTCCTTTTCCAGGTGATCACACATACACACACAAACACACCACCACCACCATTATAATCATCATTATCTTACAATTCATCTAAATGAAATTGTATTTTCATACTAATTAATCAGTTTTTATCTTTTACTCATTTTTAATGATATTATTATTTTTACATCCAAACTACAGTTTCTGATCCATCCTCTCCTCCTAGTCTCTCTCCCCTACCTTCCCTCTCTTCCCACCCCACAATTCACTCCTCCTCCATTTCTATTCAGAAAAAGTCAGACCTCCCATGAATATCAGTCAAATATGGCATATCAAGTTGCAGTGAGACAGGCACCTGCCCTCATATTAAGGCTGAACAAGGCAATAAAATATGAGGAATAGGGTCTCAAAGGCTTGTAAAAGACTCAGAGACAGACCCTGCTCCCACTGTTTAGCAGACCCACAAGAAGACCAAGCTACACACAATAACATATATGCAGAGGGCCTAGGTCAGTCCCATTCAGGCTCCCTGGTTGTTGGCTCAGTCTCTGAGCACCCCTGTGAGACAAGGTTAATTGATTCTGTGAGTTTTGTTGTAGTGTCCTTGACCCCTAAGTTTCCTACAATCATTCCAGACCCTCCTCTACAGGAATCCCTGAGCCAAGATTAATGTTTAGCTGTGGGTCTCTGCATTTGTTTCTATCGGTTGCTGGATGAAGCCGCTCTGATGATAATTGGGCTAGACACCAATCTATGAGTAAGGAAGAATATCATATATCATTAGGCATCATTACATTGACTTTTTTATCAGCTATGTTTGGTTCTAACCTAGATCTCTGGACTTCTAGTACCACATCAAAAATGACCCCATTGAAACTGCTTGTACTTTGAGGACCCCAAGGCACACAAAGTATGCATCAATGTAATATCTACTACTCCACACTATAATGCCACATTGCTCATGGACTTTCCATTAGATGAGGAAACCACTTAAGGGTAGCAACTATATTTATATAGTTATATATAAATATAAATATATATATATATATATTTCTTACTTTGTGATCCTGGTGTCTAGCCCAGTGTCTTACATGGGATAGGTGTTATGCCAATGTTATTCAGCTGCATGTGTGACTTATTGAGCAACAGTTAGGGTTCTTGCATTTGAATAATTTTGCATTAAAAACTTCTGGAAAAACCATGCAAGAAGCCTAAATGTGTTCATTAGTTCAAGCTCCACATTGCAAATACAGTAAATTTACCATATGCAATGAACTATTATAGTTAGTCAGGAATTATTTCTAGTGATCTATTCAGAGTACAGCGACTGTCATGAACGTGATATCTTAGGTACCTGAAATTAGATTTTAAATATGTTTTATAATAACAAATAATAAATACTTTGATGCAGATGTACATTCTATTCCCAGCACAAAGAAGGTAGAGGTAAGAAGATCAGGACTTCATTAACCTTTGCTATATAGTGAGATCAGCTGGAGTATATGAGATTCTGTCTCAATAAATAAATAAATGTATATTAAGCATATGAAGTGGTAGATTTTTGGCTAGTCTACATTATAACATATGTTAAAATATCACAATATACCCTGTGAATATATACAGATATTTGTTCATTTAAAATATAATAAAAATACATAGACATTTAGCTAGGAATTATGCAACAAAGCCTCACTTCTCAGAGCCCATGACATTCAATTACAATGAACTCAGATTAGCTTCAAAAGACTGAATGAAAAGTTTCCCTATGTGATGGCAAATTCTATAAATAAAGGAGAAACAGTCAAGGTCCTGGCTGGATTTGTCATTTCCTTTTATCCTGTTAGAATGAGGCTTATGAGGCATGGCTAAATCAGTTTAAATATGGAATGAAATACCCTTCACCTTTGCAACAGCACATGGGGTCTCCTGGAATTTGTCAATGATATTAAATCCAATATGGAGCAAATGAGTGTGTCTCAAGGAACTCACTAGGTGTCTCTTACGCAAGCTCCAAACTTACCTAGCATCTGAGAGACCTCATAAGGATGAACTTTTTAGAAAATGTGTTTTCAAGAAAAAGTAATTTTGAGAAAGCATTCAGGATGACTACCCCACCAAGGAAAAGTATGTACTTAGATTAATATTTTAAAATAATTCATACTGGAGAAAGAGGACAGGCTTAGCAATTCTAACTCAAGTTCTTCTCAAACTTAACCTCTATGTGTTTGAGAAGATACTCACTGGCAAGTGATGTATGGATTGAATAAATACAGCTCTTCACAGATAGGCAGATGTACATGTGTACAGAGTGTTCACATTAAATATGCCACATTTAGAAGAGAATGCTCTGTTTATTATAACAAACAGAGGTACTCAGAATACCACATCTTCATTTTGAGACACAAAATATGATTTACACTTTGTCTAAAAAATTGTTGAATTATCCTTGAATTCTTTATTTAGTGGCCTAAGGAGATATTTCTACATTCCAATATCTTCTACATTTTATTGTTTATATATAACATGTGTATACAGATAATATGACAGTTAAAATGAAAAATACAGTGGAATTTTTCCCACTGAACAGAGAGTAGTATGTAATTTTGAAGACAAATACATATGAGAAGTCTTTTTCAAAGAACACTGAGGGGTAAACACCAGTCACTCAAAATATAATGCACATATAATCATATAGATTATGACATTGCTTTTGTATATATGTTAAAATTTTGTGCTTCAAGCAAGTTGCACTTTTCAGCCTTGATCTGAATTCCAAGTCATTAAATTGAGAATGGTGACAACTATATTCTAGGAAAAGTTATAAGACATTTGAGAAAGGATAGGAAACTTGATTACTCTATACAAGTCCTCGCATAGTTTAATGGGGATATTACTTCTCTACTAAGGCTAATTTCTAAATTACTTTTCTAAAATAAAATGGAAAGGACTAACACAAATATCTGTCTTTACAAACATTTGGACAGGTAAGCATGCATGTGTGCTCACAAACACATCTGCATCTATTTCTAAATAGGTCTTCCCAGACTCAACTTTTTTGGAAAAAAAAATTAAAGAATCTTAGAAAAATACATTACAAGTTAATCACATTTTCTATAAAATTCAACTTTTCTATAAACTACTTGGTGCTGATGAGATCATGCATTATTTAAAACTAAATTCCCCATGGAGTACGTAAGATGTTAACAAAATCGTCATCGTCTACTATCCCTATACTTAGGCCTTCATAGTAATCTTCAAATTCACCATATGAAACTTCATCAGTCTTGCTGCAGGCATCTCTTAATGTCTCTAGAAAGGATGATTTGATTTCTTCCTCCGTTGAATGCCCTGAAGGAAGAGGACTAACTGTGAAATATTTTCTGTAAAAGTTCAGCAAAATGATGGATGATGATAAAGGGATACTTATTCATCTTATGAAATAAATTCAGTAATTTGAAGTCATTCTATCTTCTATCTTGATTATAATGTCAAAGAAATCAGTAAGTACAAACAATAGACCTAATAATTTTTAAATTAAAAAAGGAAAATGTCACTAAAGCCATTGACTTTATTTCCTTCAGACCAGTATAACTGAAAGAAGACACTTTTATTAATAAGCACGGTGGAAATCACATGTATTTGGTGTGTGGCAGTTACCTGAAATCACACGTGGATGCTTCTTTGCACAGTAGCACTTTCTTATGTCTATAACAGACACAATGCCAGTTTTGTTGAAATCCAGTTTCATGAAGGCCTAAAGAAAGACAGGGTTTCTCTCTGTGAAATCATTAGGTATGAGAAGCTATTGTGTGGTTGATTATTTCCAAACTGTAAATGAGACATTTGAAATGAACTAAACAAGTGTTGAAAAAGAGAAAAATAATTTGATAGGCCAGTCAGATACTCAAACTTATCACCATGGTATACAAAGAATAATTAAGTACAAAGTTATCTATACATTTGATTAATGTAATGCTTTTGATTAATGTAATGCTTTTACTACATCTCTTAGTCAGTAATGGCAGAGAGTTTTAGTTTTTCCACTTGAGACTGACACCTGTTATAATTGCTTATCCTACTCTACATAGAATAGCTTTTTATAAATATGAGATTTATATATATTGTATTAAACACATACACAAAAGAAAAGTTTACAACACAAAATTATACTATAAATAATGTCTACTAGAACCAAATTAATCTATATTTTAAAATTAGGGATCTGTGTGTATATAATGTATGTACAACATGTGTGCATGTGTGTGTGTGTATGTGTGTGCAACACAAACATGCAGGGTGTCAGTCCTTATATTGTACCTTGTTTGAGACAGGGTCTCTTTGTTGTTAGCTAATGCATATCCAGGTCAGTCAACTGTAAGCTGTATGGAGTTTCCTACCTGTGTCTCTCATCCTGTCATAAGAACACTGGGGTTACACATGTTATACATCTAGATTTACATGGGACCTGAGAATTTCAACTCGGATCCTTACACTTGCACTAGAGACACTTTACCCAATGATCTGTCTCCAGCCCCAGGACCCTAATTCCAACTTAATGTGACTTTGCTATTTTCATTTTAACACTTAGCATGCATATCAGAAACACCACAGTAACACACAAAAACATCATCTTAAAATAATGCATGTTGAGCTCAGACACTAGAATAGTGTGATTGCTAGGAATAAAACCATCACATTTAATCTTTCCACTAGCCTTGCAGGACAGCAAGTGAGGCTCAGGGTTTTACACAGCCATATATTTGGATATCTAGTAAGTAACAGAAACTAATAACTTATGAAGATAATTCAAGTTGAAATTTTATTCTTCTTTCATCAAATCTTTTCTAAGACAGTGTGTGTGTGTGTGTGTGTGTGTGTGTGTGTGTGTGTGTGTGTGATTTTTGTTTTATTCTGGGTAGACTTGTATAAACATATATAAGCTTGTTTAAGTCTCACTAAACCCTGCCCACTACAGTGAAAATGATATAACATGTTTTAATTGATGACCCATTAACAGTGCTAAACAATGAATCTAACAATCTAATAAAAGTAACAATTTGAGACCAGTTAAGAGTTACCTTGCGAACAAACGATTTCCTATATTCATTCATTTCACCAAAAATGGCACGTTTGAATTCTCCATAATCAACCTTGTTGTTGCTATGGCCATTACCTTGCAGAATTAGCCAGGAAGACTCAAAATCCTAGAAATTCCCACAGAAATAGCCATTACATGTTTCAGTTATATATCACAACAAGATTAAAACCATATTTTATTACATCCTCCATGGTCCTAGACAAAGTAGCCTAGTTAGTAAGAAAGTTACAGAAAAACCTAGTAAAACAACTGTGAAAGGAATTCTGAGGGGAACACTTAAGCAAAGTACAGAGCCTGTTCTGAATGAGCGATAACTCACAACATATCCTTTTTAAAGGTATATTATTTGAGGGCAAGGAAATGCTGAGGGCTGAACCTAGGACCTCTTGCATCCCATCAATCACTTATCGGTATTCTTATCATGGTATTTTTTGCTGATAAATAATAGTATATGTTGTGAATAGAACATGATATTTCAAGGTACACATAGGGTGCAGAAAGAAGAAGCCAGACCAACAAAATGCCATCTCTGCCATTTTAAATATATAACATTTTTATAGTAAGAATATTTAAAATCTGTTTCAGGTACTTTTTATATTTTTTATTTTAAAACAATAATTTTTCATTTTACATACCAATCCCAGTTCCACTTTCTCCCCTCCCCCTGCTCTCCCCACCTTCTCCCATCCCACCCCCCATTCACTCCTCAGAGAGGGTGAGGCTTCCCACGGGGAGTCAATGAAGTCTGACACATCACTTTGAGGCAGGAGCAAGGTCCTCCACCCCACTATATCTAGGCTGAGCAAGTTATCCCTCCAGAGAGGATGAGCTCCACAAAGCCAGTGCAAGCACAAGGGGTAAGTCCTGGTCCCACTGCCAGTGGTGCCACAAACTGCCCAAGCCACACTGAGCTCCCAGAGTCTAGTCAAAGAGAGAGAGGAGCAATAATATGAGCAAGAGGGTCCGGACCATTTTGGGGAAACCCACAGAGACAGCTGACCTGAGCAAGTCACCAACTCCAGACTGACAGCTCAGAAATCTGCATAGGACCAAACTAGGTCCTGTAAATGTTTTAGCTATTTATAAATGCATGGTACATTGTTCTTGACAATATTCACCAGGTTGTGCAATAGATAAGACCCATCCTCTTATCCAAATGCAAATTTATGTCATTTGGTCAACCTCTCCCTTTCTCTCTATACATTACACTCCCCACCACTTACCTTTCAGAGCCTTTTTATATAGAGTGTAATGGTTGTTGTATGCTTGTTTTTTAATGTATTTTATTCTCCATTTTAAAATTATATCTGTGGCAATTTGAAAGGCTGTTCGGGTTCTAAAAGACCATTTACACTTAGACTATTAATGGAGTTTTGTCTTGTCTTGGGAGCATAAAAGGTTTGAATGAATTCCAAAGTATTCCTGGATTTACACTAAATAGTATAATTCTAACTAACCACCTTATGTCAGTTTGTTCACGGCCATTCCCATGTACTTCTTTGGCAAAGGTACTATTTAATACACCGTTCTATTCAGTGATCTTAATAACAAAAGAAATTACAGCATTCCTTTATTGAAGCTCAGATGGGTATATTTTCAATGCTTCTATCAAGTTGTTAGCTTTAAATGAGAGAGCACATAAACCACCCACCTTGGCAAATAATACTTAAAAATGATTCTCGTCCACTTCCTAGCATTTTCAAATAAAACTGTAATTAGAAAACTAAGATTCAAATTACCCTGCCTCTCCTCAGCAGCCAGTGGTCTATACAGTCTTTGCATGTCAAAATGCCTCATACATTGTGAAGAAAATATGTGTATGTGCTGTTGAGTTAAAACTGAGTCTAAGTTTAACTTTTACAAATCATGAGTAAAACAGGCAGGAGACAAATGTGTTCACTTAACTCAAAGAATACCAGATTTAAAAGGACTTCTGAAGGCTCAAAAGAAGTGTTTTCAAGAATTAAGCAGTGCAACTTAAGTGGCAAAAATGCATATGACTGCATCTATATATGGTTTAGATGAAAACTAATTCAGATGGAATTTTAGCCTCATTGATAGTATTTCTATATATAAATTTGGTTCTTTGTGGAACACATCACTTTTTATTTAAAATCATAGAGAATGACTATGTCTTTTCATAAATAAGTTCTAACTTCTACAGTGAGACCCAGACTGGTGATTCTTATATCTTATTCTCACATCTTCCTATACACAAAAGAAGCAAAACAAGAATATGAGTTAAAATATGTGAGATGACTGGACATGTAGATCAATGCGGGAGCAGTTTCAAGCACCATAAAAATTAATTAATAGATGAAGTTTATAATAAAACAAAACATATGAGAAAGGATGAAACACATCATGTTATCTTAGTAATTGTGGTTGTTTGAATGAGAATGATCCCCATAGGTTCATATATTAAAATGCTTGAGTCCCAGTTTGGGAAGGATTAGGAGGTGTGGCCTTGTTGGAAGAGCTATTCCACTAATGGTGGGGCTTTGAGGTTTCAAAAGACCATGCCATTCCCAGTTAGCTCTCTCACTCTGCCTCATGGTTACTGTGCCAATGTAGAATCTCTCCTGCTCCGGTGACACGCCTGCCTGCCTGCTGCTAAGCTCCATACCATAATGACCATGGACTCTGACCTTCTGAGGAACTAAAAGCCTTCAGTTTAAATGCTTTCTTTCACAAACTGTCTTGATCAAGGAGTTTTTGTTGTTGTTTGTTTGTTTACAGCACTAGAAAAGTAACTAAGACAGAAGTCTTAGGTAACTATAGTCTTATTCACTAGTTATAAACATCTCATAAACAAATACAGAAGCATCGAAGTAATACAGTACTTATCCATATGCACAGGGCCATATTATCTGAACACCATTCTCTATCAGTCATAGGCTGCTTGTTTGTTTAGCAAAAATATACCACAGCATTCTGATTTCCTTTTATTATTTTTTCACCTATGTAAGAAAGATATGAAGGTGGATGGCTCCTGGGTTGTTATCACTAGACAGGCAACTAGATTAAATGTCATTACAACCAACCAAAAGACAATTTTGTCACAGCAGTGATATGCAATGTCGCACTGACAGAGAATTTTATAGTTGATAAAGCAAATTCCCATGTAATTATTTTATTTGCACTCCCATGTCTCACTAAATATAGAAATCATCTCAGAATTTCTCAGGCAGAGCCTGTCAATGAAAGTGAAAACACTTGTATAAGATTACACAGCTAAAAAAAAAAAAAAAAAGATTACACAGCTAGTTACTTGGGGTGAATACAGAAGACTAATAAGGATACATTATAGTTATCTTTATTTCTCATCATTAGTAAATACTGTATGTTCTGGGGCCATGGCTCAGTTGGTAGAGTGCTTGCCTAGTTAGAGAGACATACATCATGTGACAAGACAATTTTTTCTGCAAACATGAAAAATGCAAAACTCTTATATATGGAATACTTGATCTGAATCACTTGTGTACTTTTAACATACAAGCAAAATTTCCCAGTACAGAACACGAGGCTTTTGCGTACCAGATTTGATGTCTCCCACTCTTCCATCTACTTGCTCAAGCTATGAACTATTGGTTCCGTGCTTGCTATGCCAGAGTCAGCTCAAGATGCTAAAGCAAGGGCAGGAGCCAGAGGCACCCTGGTCCCTATCCAAATGGGATGTGCCATTTTAATTATGGGCAGATTCAAAGTGCCATGAAGAAAACAAAATGGAAGTTGGTGTAGACTGGATTGAAGATCAGATGGCAGAGCTCCTCTGTAAAGAAAGCTGTAGCCTAAATGCTGAGAAAAATATGAGAACACACAGATCTAGTACAAGAGCATTCCCATAAGAGTGAAGAGTGCACAGGAAATGGGTGCCTGTAGCTTGGGTCAGAGCCACAGTTCCTGCCTGGAACGTGCTTATCCTTTCCATGAAATGACCATTGTCTAAACCATGCTCCCCTCTTCATAGAGGATCCACTATCTGCCTCTGCCCTTCTCTACTCTTGTTCAGTTCATTCTTCCTCGTTAGCCAAAACCCAACCTGGAAGCATCCTCTTCCCAGAATCTTGCCGTGGCCTTCCCTCTCCTTCCTGATGGCTTGGCTGGGAACTGTGTACCACACACGTGCTCCCAAAGCATCCTCTATTTGGTGCAACTATTAACCATTTTCTCCATTTAAAGATTATGAGAGTGGAGAGTATGTCATCTCAGAGGTTAGCACATGCCTGGCTATTAAACACTTCACAAACAAAGGATAAAGGAGTGTCAATTTTTTAAAAATCAGTGGGAGTTGTTGCCTGGTGGCTGAACGCTGATGACAAGGCCTTAAAAAGGAAACAAATGAGCTATTAAAATTTCATCAGGAAAGTGAACAAAGCCATGCAAGAATATACACTCACAGCAGAAAGTGGCGCGTGGTACATACCTGTTCAGACACTTCTAAGTGAAAGGCTTTCAGGGCTCTCTGGAAATCTGCCTTCTCTAACAGCCCACTTCCTTCCTTGTCCAAATGCTGAAGGTATTTTCCCAATCCAGTCAAAATACGGACACCTCTCTTGTGGAGTTGTTCTTTCAGTGTGTCTGTTTAGTAGAGAGAGAGATGGAAACTAACTGCTTCTGTGCATGAACATGAATATTCAGTGAGTATTTCAACATTGGAAAGTAGAATGTTTTCAGTGAAGACAACGGCAGACACAGCTGTGTGCTCATAATATGCCAGAACTACAGCTCCACTGTGTGGTGAAAGTGTGCATTTTACATACAGGAAACTAATGTTTCTCTTTACTCGGAATAATCTGAATGTTACAAGGAAAATCCCTGTTTCTCTTGTTTAGACCCCTTTTTCTAACTGCCCCATGCCTTCGCCATCTTCCTTTCTTTATTTATACTAACTGAACTACAAAATTGATGCCAGGCGAATCACACACACACACACACACACACACACACACACACACTCCATGAAGACATTTTTAAGTAGTTTGAAAGTTTCAAACTGGATGATAGTCAAATGGCATCTAGGTTTTGAATACTTGCCTATATGTACATATTCACAGTAACCATTTTTTCCAGAAATTCTTAGAGGTTACATACTCTGGCTCCCAAATTCGCCATGTAGCACAGCTATTTCATTTGATGCCATCTGTATCATATTACAATGAACACATTAGGAAAAAAAGAAACAAACGTCACTAGCTTCAGTATTGTATTGGCTATGGCAGCAGGGAGAAAAAGAGAGTTACTAACAAGGGCATGGAGGACCTTCTAACACCAGTCTCATCAAGTTGGCTCGCTCTCTCTCCTCTCTCTCTCTCTCTCTCTTCCCTCTCTCTCTCTCTTCCCTCTCTCTCTCTCCCTCTCTCTCTCCCCTCTCTCTCTCTCCCTCTCTCTCTCTCCCCTCTCTCTCTTCCCCCTCTCTCTCTCTCCCCTCTCTCTCTCTCTCTCTCCCTCTCTCTCTCTCTCTCTCTCTCTCTCTCCCTCTCCTCTCCTCTCTCTCTCTCTCTCTCTCTGCTTTTTGTTTTTGTGACAGGGTTTCTCTGTGTAGCTTTGAATGTCCTGGAACTGCTTCTCTTTCTAAGTGTGAATGTCTTATCTTGAATAATATCTCAGGATTCATCAGAATTATATAAGTATATATTGACTTCTGTAATGAATTGTTTTATACCTTTCTACCTTCTGCTACAAAATCAAACAAACAAATTGTTTATTACAGCTAGTGCACTGCACTAGTTATGACAAAAGGCCTTAGAAATTTGTAAAAATGTTTTAATGCCCTAAGCCTACCCACATCTAGTTTGTTCCCTAGGGATTCCCCAGAGAAGTTAAGGAGCCATTACCCTCACACAGAGGTAAACAAAGAGTTGCAAAGGATTGACACAAAGTTGCTGATTCTACTCAACAGCAGACAGAACATGGACTGGAGATATACAGTCAAGCACTAAACCAGGAGTCCCTTCAGGATGTCATCTGAGGCATGAGACAAGTATATGGTGGTTCGTGCCTGTAATCCAGGAACTCTGGAGTGGAGGTAAGAGGATTGCCAAGGGTTCCAGGCCAGTCTAATATGCAGTGAGCACCAACAACCTCTCTCTCTCACTCTTTCTCTCTCTATATGTATGTATGTATGTATGTGTGTGTATGTATGTGTATATGTATGTGTGTATACATACATTACATATGTGTGTGTATATATATGAGTGTGTATTTTGTGTGTGTTTGTGTATTTGTATGTATATTTGTATTGAATGTATGTATGTATGTCACATATATGTATATAACATGGCCCGAGGACATGGCAGGTCAGTGGATAAAGAAACCTGTCACAAATCCTGATAACCTGAGTTTCAGTTGCAGGAAAGAACTGACTCCTGCAAGCTGTCATCTGACCTCCCTCATGTGCTGTATCACAGGTGTACACACACAGAAACAAATAAATATGTTTAATTTATTAAAATTCAATTTCATACTTTATTTAGCTTATAATTAAAACCCATAGTATCTAATATTTCAAAAAAGTATTATTATAATTCACATGCTTTTACCTTATACCATTAACACATAAAAGGTCATGGAAAATCTTCGGTAATTATTTTATGAATTATGTATATATTTGTATGCCAGGATCTACTTTATTAACTATTTATTTATATGTACATATGTATATATATTGTCTCTCTGTGTGTATATATGTACATGTGCTTATCTGTGATCATTGAGACCAAAAGAGGACACGATCATAAGATCCCCAGAGGTGGAATCACAGGTTGTGAGCTACTCAGTATGGGTGTTGTGAACCAAACTCAGGTCTCTGAAGTAGCAGCAAGCTCTTCTGTTTGCTAAGTCATCTGTCAGCCCCATAAAACATTACATATTATATGTACATAATATGTAGATCACATAAAATAAAATATATATTATTTTTTGAAATTATATGTGTACTTTCTAAAAAAATAAGAATTATAAATCAAAGTCTATAAAATGTAGCAGTGTCAAAAATACTGTTTTTACTAATAACCAAGAAACAAGTTGAAAACTGTAAATAGTGCTTGTAAATGGAGAAAAAGCACAGCATACCCTGAATGGCCCGCAGCACCTGCCGATCCTGTGCCTCCTGGCTGACCGTGTCCTCCTCATGTTCCCCAGAGGCAGCTCTGCAAGTGAGAACAGAGGCTCTAGGTCATGCTTCCCCACTCCAGACTTAAAGATGATGTCAACAGACGTGGAGGGGGACAAGCCAAAGCAATCGCTACCCCTGCCCGCTGCTTTTGATTTTATGGAGAATTAAGTCCAGAGCTATAAAAGATCACATTCTTTGAAGATATTAACTTTAATAACTGCTTTAATGTTTTTAAATGCTTAATTGGAACTATTCATTTTAAAAGCAGTTGTAGATTACAAAATATAAACTATAAAAAATGTTTTAAAGACCCAAAAGTACACTAATACACAGCAAATATTCTTACAGCCAAATTATAGACTGTGTTCCCTTATACATACATCAATTATTACCAATTTAGGATAAATCACAATTAGGATAAAAACATTCTGTATTTCTATTATTTAAAATATCCCTTGATGTCATTATTTATTCATAGCATTTTCACTATGTAGTCAATCAATGAACAGCATCACCATAGGGACCATTACTTTTCATATGATAAAAGGCCACCAGCAATGTAGAAAACAATTACAAAGATGGACTGGTACCCTTTGTCTTTTAGAGCATCACTTTGATGTCATTCAATAAAATAACAAAGACAAATGAATTATTTTTGTTATGAAATAGAACAATTTTAAAATTTTAATTGTCATAACTGTCCCCAAACATGATGTGAATTTGATTATAATACAGAACATAAAGTAACCATATACAGTTATTATTTATAAATATAAACCTTAATTTTAGTATGAGTGCCCTGTGGTAGAATCTCCTTTTAAGATACAAACTACAGTGATTTCACTTATTTTCAAAATGACAAATGCATTTTTGACTTACTTCAGAGAACTCAAAGCTATTTGATCAATATTTGTAATTCGAAGTCTAAACAATGTATTTTCTTTTATACTCTTTGGAAGGCTAGGATGATCGCAGCTCAAAAATGTCAAAGTTGCACCCTGAGGAAATGAACAAAACAGACTTTTGAGAGATAGAAGGTATCCAAAGTTAAAATGCAACTCATGCTAATTGAAGAGATTTTATTATAGTGCCTTAGGATATTCTAATAGTGCCCAAAATACAGTAGATTTGAAGAATATTTAGAAACCACATGGGTCCAGATAATACTATAGAAAAAAGAATTTCAATGAAAATTACACGTCTACACAATAGTCCATGTGAACAAAGAAGAATCTGTATATTAAATAAGAACCACCGGAAATATGACATGAGCTCCATTTAATGTGTGGCAATCCCTGTTGTGGTTAGTTTTGTCCACACGACATAATGTAGAGTCACCCAGGGAAGGAGTATCAATGCAGGACTGTGTGGTGATATCTTGTTTGTACAAGTAAAGCTTGCCTGAAGATCAGAACTAGAGAATAGTTAACCATAGAGGTATGAAGGTCTGTACAGACAGACCAGAAGTGATATGGCTGGGCAGAGAAAGGAAGTGATAAGGCAGGAAAAGACAGGAGCTCACTTTCTTTGCAGACAGGAAGTTGAGCTGTAGTTTTCCTCCTTCATCTCTCTGATCTTTCAACATTTTCCCCTATAACTGACTCCAGGCTTTTATCATTAAGACCTGTTAGAACTCATGTTTTGGAATTGTCTCTATTAGACTGACCAGTGAGCATGGGAGGACTATCTTTATAACACTGAGTTGGGAAGACCCATCTATCTACTGTGGGTGGCATCATTTCCTGCACAGGCGATCCTGGTTGTCTAGGCCTGGAGAAAGCAAGTTGAGCACTAGCACGTTTTTAACTCACTGCTCCCTGCTCTGGCTGTGGATGTGACAAGACAGGTTGTTTCAGATTCCTCCTGCCTTTGATTTTCCTGTGATACTGACTGTAACCAAGAATTGTGAACCAAATAAAACTTTTCTCCCTTCTGTTACTCTTTTTTTTTTGTTTGGTTTTTCGAGGCAGGGTTTCTCTGTATTGTTTTGGAGGCTTACCTGGAACTTGCTTTGTAGACCAGGATGGCCTCGAACTCACAGAGATCCACCTGCCTCTGCCTCCCGAGTGCTGGGATTAAAGGCATGCGCCACCAACACCCGGCCCCTTCTGTTACTCTTGTCATGATATTTTATCACATCAACAGAGAGGGGGTAAAAGCAAATACAATCCCCAAATTCAGAACTAAAGCTCTTGGTTCACAGAAAGATGCTGTGTGGAATGGGGAACTCTGGTAGACTGGTCATACTCTTTTTTCTGCTCTTTGGATGATGAACCAAATTTTAACCTAATGAGAGTATCAAAGTATCAATGACAAAATTCCTCCCAAAAATTCTTAACCCAATCCACAGAATTACTACTCTAATTTCAGAGATCCTCTCATACACACATGACCAAAGTATGGACAAATGCAAACTCAATAAAAGAGGCTTTCTTCCAGCTAAACCCTGAACTTAACTCCTGGAAACCAGTTGCAGAGAGGGAGGAGTGCTGGGCAAAGGGGTCAAGACCGGGCTGGTGAAACCCACAGAAACAGCTGACCTGAACAAGAGGGAGCTCTTAGACACCATACTGATGGCTGGGAATCCAGCATGGAACTGATCCAGACCCCCTGAACATGAGTGTCAGTGAGGAGGCCTCGACAATCTTTGGGGCCTCAGGTAGTAGATCAGTATTTATCCCTAGCATACGAATGGACTTTGGAAGCCTGAACAAATTGAGGAGGGCCTAAACCCTGCCCAGGATGATATAATAGACTTTGGGAATCCCTCATGGAGGGCCCCACCCTCCCTGGAGAGGGGAGGGGGAATGGAGTGTGGTTGGGAGGAGAGGAAGCTGGGATTGACATGTGAAGCAAGCTTGTTTCTAACTAAAAATAAAAGATAAAAATGAAAATGAGAAAGAAGAGGCTTCCTTCTTCTTATAAGGAAAAGTAAGGGAAGAAGAACAAGGGAAGAGCCTCCCCTTCCTCCTCCTTGGAACAGTTACTTTAGAAACCTAATAAATGTGATGGACCATGCTCTTCTCCCTTTGAGGCTCATATAACTGCTTTTGAAAATTAGATATCTATTGTTAGCTTTATGACGAAGAAAAGTCTTTCCCTGGGACCAGAAACCATTCTAGGAAAGGTGAATATCAAGGGAGAGACAACACTCAAAAGCTGCTGTTGTATATACAGCTGCTGAGACAACCTTTCAAAACCTGTCCTAAAACACAAAGCGAGAGAGATGTTTCCTTCTTCCCTCCCTGTCTCTGTTTCTGACTCCTCTCCACTTTCTTTCTTCCTCACTTTAACGGGACAAAGAAGGAACTGAATTTCCACATGTGGTTCGTATGAAGGGAGAGGGTAAGTGTAGATCAACAACTAAACCAAATTGCAACAGCAGCAGCAGCTCAGAAACGGTAGTCACTGTCACCTTTGACAGTCAGCATGGTATCTTCAGATCACACAGAAGGAGTCTGAACTGACTTTCTCTAGACATCAAGAAACAAGTATGAAGACCCTGGGCATGGTGCACTTAACCCAAGATTGAGATGTCTAGGGTTTCCTCCTCCTTCACCCTTTCCTGACTTGTTTATCAGGGTTACGATATTTGGTTGGAATATACTGACAGAGTAGAGATGACAGAAAGCAGATGGCCTGCAGAGATGGCTCAGTTGGCAGGGTTTTCTCTTGCAAGCAGGAGGAAATTCCAGAACCTGTGTAAAAAAATCGGGACTGGGACACACACAAACATACACTTCTCATGAGTTTTCTCCTAGATTGCCTTCTAGTCCATGCCTGCCACATGTGCCTGGTCTTCAATCCATCCCACACATTGAAATCAGAGAGCTATTTCTAAATTACAAATCTGATTATATAGCCTCTCCATCCTACCAACATCATCTTTTCAGTGACTCCCTGGTATATTACTGTGGGAGCTCACAAGTGACTCAGTTTCCACTGGAATCTATTCTGACTTATAAGACATTAGAGTTCAAGCTTGCTTGTTCCAGTCTCCTTGAGGGCCATGAGAAAGTTCTGATTAAGCCCATGGAAAAGAGCATATTACCTAACTAACAAGCTTTTGATGCCAGCTGTATGCATGCAGATAGATAATGCAGCTGCTAGCAGGAATCACATGACAGAGAGTGAACCTGGCTGCTCCTCGATTCAAGGACAGTGCAAGGAGCTGGTTAACTGATTGTGTTGCTCTTTGTTCTGCTTTGCCTCTCGTCTGTATAGAAGCCGGGTCAAACCTAAACTGGGAGCTGTCCGCTGTGCTGAAGGGCATGGATCGGGCAGTCCTCCCAAATCTAGCCTGTATTTCTGTCTCTTATCTGCCATTTCTCAATCATCGTGTTCCTACTCAGGTAACACATCTGACTCATTGGAGCAGGCTCCGACTCATTACATATCGTTCTTTACTATCAGGCTACTTTCTTATTTAGTTGGGGGAGTGGGGAGAGTATTGGTGCTTGTGTGTGGAAGTCAGAGGACATCCTTAGGTATCACGCCATAGGTACTATCCACCTTTACTCTTTTAGTAAGACTGGGTCTCCCTCTGGTCCAGAACTCAGCAAGCAGACTAAGCTGTGTCCAGTCCATAAATGTAAGTTTGACCTTTCCTTGTCACCCCATCACTGAGATAACAAATGTGTGCTATCAAGTCCTGAATTTTTAACATGGGTTCTGCAATTCAATCCCAGGTCCTCCTGCTTGCAAGAATGAACACTCTGCCAACTGACTCATCTCCCTGGCATGAGTATAGTTTCTACTAACCTCACTCTAGGTCTATATTCCAACCATATAATCCATATGCTTTCTTGCTTTTGTTCTTTGCAGATGTAACTCTCCACCTAGAAGCCTTTTCTGTACACCTGCCTGTCCTTAATTCAGCTCTGATGGAACTTTCTCTAGGAAGTCTTCCAGCTTATACAATTGGATCCAGTTTTGCCAATCTGGTTCCAACCTAACTGAGTCCCATTATACTCCAATTGTCACAAAGCAAAGCATGGTTCTGACTTCCTCAGTATTCTCTCTCCAGTGTTTAGAATGTGAACATACATGAGTATTATATGAATGGTTGGTACAGAAAATGTTTCATTGTAATCGTACATGAATGTAATGATTTAAAAGTTCAGCACACTGGGAAATATGGGAGAGTCACAAGAATAAAGGCTATCATGGTCACAGCTCCAGAGGACAGTGCCACTGTACAGAGACAATCAGGTACCTCCTTAGGTGGAGTATTGCTCCCAGTGCTACTGAGGTAGCCACTTACCCAGAACAGGCCTTCTAAAGAAAGCTTCAAAAGTACCAAGAGCCCAGCTCTCATGTGGCAACAGTCTCCATAAAGGAACAGTGTGTGGATGCTTATGGAAAGTAAGTACTATGCTTAAGATTATGACTGGGATTTGTCTGTCAGGCAGAACCTTCTCAGAAGACATCGCCATTCACACAAATGCCTCCACTCAGGAAAATAAACTGGACCCTCACCCTCGCTCCACGACAGAGTCCGAGACAAGGCGTTAAGTGCCAGCACACACACACAGCTTACCGTATAGAAGTCGCCAAGCCGGTACTGCTTTCCTTTTCTTCGTCCACGCTGATGACTGTAAGTGTCTTTTTTAATAAAAGGGAGCACGTTTGTTCTAGAAGTTAAACAACAACAGCAACAACAAAATGAAGTCATCTAGTTTCCCTTGGAAGCAATTCTCTAGCGTACTTACAGTGTTTCAGAGCATACCTGTTTTTCCCAAACTTCCGATATTCATACACGGTTAGGGACTGATCGTGGGTAAAGAAAAACCCAATCAGTTCTCTGCAGGCATCGCGTCCATTTCTAGCAAAATGATATCAATGATTTTAAAATATGGTGATTTTTAACTTAAATAATAAACTAAGATCAAACATCTTAAGTGGCAATAATGTAAGTCCCTTGAATGTGTGCCTGTGACTAAAGGTCACACAAGTTTATGGAAAGTATGTGACAGCTTGCAGAAAGCACCAATTGAGTTAGATTTGGATGATGAAAAAAGACATAAGCTTAACAGTGGTAAGTGTCCAGCTCTGTCACAACAGAGGTTGCTAAGTGATAGAGACTTAAGATAAAACAGAAGACTTTTAAAATGCCAAGCTTAAAAATTTTATAAGATTGAGGTAAAAAATTTAAAATCCATCGATCTTGTCATTGGCTCTATCAATAATCTGTTAACTCACACTATTAAAACTAAATTATACATCTGACATAAAAATTAACTTCTAAATGGTTTAGAAATGCCTACTAGAATACCCTAATTTATCCAATCTTTTCAAGAGACTTACAATCATTTTTTAAAACTGTTACTTAAAATATTTATACTACAGTGTCCATTATATATAGCAATAATAACTATTGCTTAAATGTTTATAACCCAAAAATTCACATTTTAAGTATTAGTATAAATTTATCTAATCTTGAAATTTCTATGAAAGAAGAGAACGTATTATTATAATCACAGAAGTAAAAAATAATAATAAAGTGGCAGTTACCTTGATAAGACCCTCCCATCAAATTCTACTTTCTGAGCAAGGTCATTCTCTGTTAATGTGGAGGTGGTTCTTATCCTGTCAAAATACATGTTTAAGTCATTATTTTAGAGCAATCACAATTGATATAAGCGACAAATGCACCAAAGGGCTAAGGCAATATTTTGAAAAGGCACAGAATAGAAATGAAAATGGAAATTTAGAGCGTGACTATATAAAGACACAAAAGACGTAGCACCCCGAGCCACTGTCGGCTCTGTCTATCTCCTTTCCTTTATTATTGCACCTTCCTACATGGTCTATGCTGGCCTGGCACGTGCTGGAGCTGCAGACCCGAACCCAAACACCAACTCAAAAGCCATTTCTAGCCCCTTTCCTGTGCCTTCCTCCCAGCACAGCACTTAGTTTCTTACCACCTGCAAGTATGACCAACCTAAGCAGTTTTGCCAATAAATTCACAGGAACAATTCTTGTCCGTGTGAGATGGCAGGATGGGTAGTTTCCTGCCTGTGAACATTAAGGGGGGTATGATGACAGAGGTAGCTATAGCCCAGAGCTGCAGCACCACTGAGTCATGGAACCAAAAACAACATATGCCTCCTTCCAGCAGCTAAGTTACTACACAGATGGAAAAATCCTTGTACACTGAGCCCTATCAGTCAGATTCTAGCAGGCTGCTGATGTTATTCTTTACTCAAACAATTGGGGGAACGACAGCTGATGAAGGAACCAAACTCAGGATCTGGGATCTGTCAACTACATGTCACCATATTCTATAGACAGCATTGCTGATCTCCTAAAGGCTTCTACCTCTAAAAGTCTTTAAAATGTGGAGCAAAACTATATGTTTTATACTCTACATTGAATGATGTCCTTTATCTTAAGAGGTAAGAGTCAATGTTATACCATTTACTATTCATCTGCAGGAATAATGAAATAGCAGTCGTATAATAGTAAGAATGCGGGCAGCAGTCGTGGGAAACAGGTAAAGCTTTGCCTCTGTAACATCTAGGTCCCACAGAATACAAGCTGGAGATAGGAAACAACAGGCTGCTAACCCAACGAGAGTCTGGGAACAAAGCGAGGAGTCCGAAAGGCTGCATCATCTCAATTCAGTATAACCCACTGGAACTAATGCACTCATCAAACATTCACTATGTTCCTGGAATGACTTTAAATGCTTGAGAAATAGTAGCAGCAGTACCAGCTACAATTTAATGAGGAATTTGTAGACACTAGTCACTATTAAATCACTTTAACTTGCAGTGGTTTATTTAATGCTTGCAATAAAAAAATTTAAGAGAAGTAAGCACTACTATCCCCGTTTAATAAATATATTATCATGGGAGGCAGGATAAGCAGTTGATTACAGCCATGTGATCACATGGCAGATCTGGAAAACAACCTTTCTCCTACCATTAAATTTTATTATTTCTTAGTGGTGAGCAATGGTGAAAGGTGAGGTAATTGCATCAAGGAGCCTGGAGTTATCACAAAAGGATATATGCAAATGCTTATCATGAAATGCAGAGTGCCACACTGGGTTCCAGGGGCCCAGAAAGCAGCACAAATGCTTCCCTATAGAAGTTGCAAATCAGTTCAAAAGGAAGAAGTAAGCACATTAAATACTAAAGGTGAATGTTGTCACTGACCAAGTTGGTGGAAAAGATGGCCAGGCATTCAGGGGTAATAGGCTAACTGTATGGCACTAGAATTACACAGACTAACTGCTTCTTTTTTACTGATGAAAAAAACCTGTAAAGTTTGGTACAAGGATGAAATGTAGGCATCTGCAAGAGGCTGCCTCCAGAGAAAGGAGAAGACAGAAGGCTGCACTATACGTGCCAATCCTACTGCCAACTTATGAAGCAGAGTTCCTTCCTCCTCCTCCTCCTCCTCCTCCTCACTTCTCTCCTCACCCTCCCCTCCTCCTTCTCTGGGGAAAGCAAAAGAGCGGGAAGCCACTGATCTGGAAATCCTAACCAATAAGCCCCATGAGATTTTTCTGAACTGGACTAACTTTAAAGCAAGTTGCATGTATTTGTTATGAAGCAATACTTAGACAGGTGCAAGAAAACAGATGAAATTGAAAAATAGGCTACCAACCATCTGTGCACTTATGACAACGTGACATAAAATATAGTAAAATTAAAATTCAAGTAGGCTCAGATTTCTTCAAAGAAGCTACAAATGGTCACGGTCCACATGAGGACATCTGGATGAACAATGCACATGTGATAATTAATCAGCATCATTAGTCTCCAGTGAAATGCAAAATAAAATCACCAATACACATTCAGTAGGAGACAGACAATAAAAAAGACAGGCAACACCAGATGCTGGCAAAGATGTACAGCAATTAGACCACTCATCCTGCCTCTGGGGTTACTCTTTCCCAGTATCTTGTAGAGCTGAACACAGGCATACTAAGTGGTCCAGAAAGGCTAAGTAGTCACTCAGCATAAGTGAGTATGTGTTTTTACCAGGAGGTATGCCCAGCCAAGTTCACAGCAGTATAATTCATAAGTCACTAGGCATGTTAAGAATCTGGGAATGTAAGTTGTGGTAGATTCATATAATGGGATGAAGAACAGCACTGAGAAAAACAACTATAAATGACATCATGGATGACACTCCTACAGATAATGTTGGGGAAAAGGCATCAGACATACTTCATTGAGTGTCTTTATAAAATATTGCATTAGATTGATGATTATGATGAAGAAGAAAGCCAGACAAACAGATTGTGCTGGGAGAAAAAAACTAGACACGGGGCTAGAGAGGTGGATCAGCTGTTATGAGCATGAGCTCCTCTAACAGAGGATCCAAGGTTGATTTCCTGCATCCACTCCAGGTTTCTCATAACTGCATAGAACTCCAGCTCCAAAGGGATCCAATCTCTCTGCCCCCTCCAGGCACTGGTACTCAGGTACACACACTCACACACAGATGCATACATCCACATATGAAATTTAAAAAATTAAGCAAACCATAGAAACCAAATTTTCTGATTTCTCTTTTGTAAATTCCTGGCCAACCATTTTAATCTATGGGGTTAGGACATAGCAGCTACATGACACATCAGTGAAGTAAGAATAAGAAGACAGCACAGGGGTGCTTATGAGGTACTGTTCCTGTTTAGTTTCTCCCTGTGGGAGTTTGACACATGAAAAGTGATCTATTTGTCATGATTCCTATATTATAATTTAAAATGTGTACACTGTTTGAAACTACATCTCATTTCAGTTTACTTTGAAAGGAAATCACTTAAAAATACAGTAGATACATTAAATATAAAGCATGTATATTAGATATACAGTAGATAAATGATGGTGTCCCCTCGTCAAGATACCATAGTCTAATGTTTAGAACATGTGGAAATGTTAGCCATGCATCATGAAAGAAACCTGGAATGTGTGACTAAGTTGAAGATCTTACCATAGGGAGATTATCAGGGTTAATCAGGCAGGTTCCATACAACTGTATGTATATGTATGTGCGTGTATTGTGTGTCTGTGTGTGTGTTAAAGTTTTTTTCTTTTTTAAAATAATTTATTTTTAATTTAATTTAAATTAGAAACAAATTTGCTTCACATAGCAATCCTAGCTCCCTCTCCCTCCCCTCCTCTCCTACCCTCCTTCAACCCTCTCTCAACCCCTTCCCCAATTTCCACTCCACTCTCCAGGAGGGTGAGGCCCTTCTTGCATATCTCAAAAGTCTGTCATATGATCTGGGGCAGGGCCTAGGCCCTCCCCCATGTGTCCAGGTGGAGACAGCATCCCTCCATGTGGAATGGGCTCCCAAAGTCCATCTGGATGACAGGGCTAAATGCTGATTTATTGCTTGAGGCCCCAAAGGATGCTGAGGCCTCCTCACTGACACCCACATTCAGGGTGTCTGGAACAGTCCTATGCTGGTTTCCCAGCTATCAGTCTGGAGTCTATGAGCTTCCCTTGTTCAGGTCAGCTGTCTCTGTGGGTTTCACCAGCCGAGTCATAAAGTTTTATCTACAAAGGAGTGTCAAAGTGATGTGGCATCATAAAGCTCTGACCAGTTATTATTGGTTTTGAAGATGGAGGATGGGGCCATGAGCCAAAGGATAAAGAAAGCCTCAGAAGCTGTGAAAGACAAGACCATGTCAGCTTCTTGCTTTTAGACTTTGTATCTCTACAAGTGTATGGATAAATTTGTATTGTTTTAAAATACTGTTTGCTATAAGGCATTGTTGTTTTAAAATACTGTTTGTAGGAACGTGTTACTGTGACAACAGGAATCTAGCACATTTTTACCTCAAATATTCAAGTTTATAAACAATAAACTAAGAATGCATTAAACTAAAAATGAGAGGGGGAGGGTAAGACAAACATTTATAGCAGTCTGGAAAGATAGAAGAGCTACTGTGTACAATAGATTTCCTACTAAATATGAGACTGAATGGGAATTGTCAGTATAGTCATTAATTTCAGTGGGCTATGCCAAAGGACTGGGAAAGTTCTCCTTAGCAGCTACAGTTAGGATCTAATATGACCCCCAGGCCCATGTGTCAAAGGTATGGTTACCCTCTTATGGCTCTAGAATGAAATGGACTAGTTAAGAGGCATAGCGTGTCTGGAATGATGGTCCTTTCTTCTGTAAATTAATTCTTCATATATTACATAAATCTGATTTAGCCAGGGTACTATCTTCGGGCATACATGTGTGAGTGTGTGTGTGTGTGTGTGTGTGTGTGTGTGTGTGTGTGTGTGTATTCCTGAAAATTGTGACTTCCCTTATAAATTATAAATGGGAAAAAATTGGAATTCAAAAAAGGTAGAATAAAAAATTTAAGGAGATAGCAATGAGATCTGAAATCCCAAAACTTTTGCTTCTCTTTATATGGTTTTAGAAACATACAAGTGTATTCAGTATGGTACAGAAGTGTATTTTAACAATATATCATGAAGCTTTTCTTACTTTGTTTCATGCAGGGTTCGTCTCCTAACTCGAAGTGGTACCCCCTCTGGGTCTGGAGGGACAGGAAAACTCTCTTGTTCCTCAGTGTTTAAGCCTTGTTCTGGATCACTGATGACAGCCCTAAGTAAGGAGACACAAAATCTGGTGTCTAGCATGACAAAATGTGTGCTCACTTATTTTTGAGCAGTTGGAAAATGTCAAACACCTGATGGCAATTTGTCCTGTTGTCATAATAATGTTTGTCATAAATGAGTGTATTTAATTACTAAAATACTGTCAATAAAAGGTAAATACAGTCATTTGTATTTTCATCCAAACAGATCATAGGAACACCTAGAAATTCTGAAGGGAAATGAGAGTTTCATGTCTTTTTCCTAGTACTCCTCAGACAGTCGCTTTGCTGGTTTATGATATCACGGGGAGGAATGTTGGTAAAGGAGACTTGCTCTAGTTTGTTTTCTGTTTCCATGTAAGCACTGACCAAAGGCAGTGTAGGAAGGGATTTATTTCATCTTGCACTTTATAGTTCATGATGGAGGAGCACCAAAGCAGGAACTTGAAGCAGAAGCCAAGAGGAAGGATGCTCACTAGCCTCCTCCCAGGCCCAGGTTCAGCTACAGCCCAGGACAACTGCCTTAGGATGGTATCAATCACAGAGAGCTAGGTCCTCTTACATCAATTAACGGTTAAGAAAATGCTCCCACAGACATGCCCACAGGCCAGTCTGATAGAGACAGTTGTCAACAGAGGACCCTTCTTCCTGGGTATGTCAAGTTGACAACCAGACTGGCCATCTCAAGAGTGTGAAGAGGTAAGCAGTATAGCATAACTTGGATGGAGAAGCATGGCATGATTTCTAGAAAGAAAAATATAGGGGTCTGGGGAGACTGCCTCAGTCAGGAAAGTGCTTGCATCCCAAGCATGAGGAGCTGAGTTCAGATCCCTGGAAGTCTATACAAGCTGGGCGTGGTGTGGTGCATCTCTAACCCCACAGCTGAAGGGGGGGGGAGATGAGAAAGCCCTGGACATCACTGGCCAGCTTGCTTTTCTAATCAGTGAGTTCCAGATTCAGTGGGAAACTGTCTAACAAGCCAAGATAGAGGACCATTGCCAAAGACACTCAGCATAACTTCTGCCTACACACACACATGCACATATATCACACACACAAAGTAAAATGAGATAAACACGGGAAGGAGTCTGTGGAAGCATTTGAACTGATTCTGAAATGGTGAGGAGAGGTTTGTGCTCAGAGGAGAAGAAAGACTGGGTCCTGGCACCACTTTAGCCCCCAAATAATACATGAGACATTATATTAATTATAAAGCTGTTGGCTGTTTGCTATGGTTTCTTAATGGCTAGCTCTGACTTAATTATTAACCCATAATTACTAACATGTATTTTTATAAGGACTTATCTTTCCAAGGACGCCATCTTGACAAGTCCTCTCCTCCCGGTATCACATAGCAACTCCCTACTCTTGACTACATTTCCCAGAATCCTCCTCGACTCCTAGTCCCTATTGGCCAACAGTGCTTTATTTATCAACCGGTCAGACAAATATATACACAGAAGGACTTGCCCCATTACTGTCACAGTGAGACAACCATGTGTGAGATGGTATAGCCCTACTCAAGGATCTGCAGTGTGTGGCTGATGCTAGACAGGTCAGTTCACTACTTGCTTCCTCCAGTAACATCCCAGGCTCCTTCCTAGTCATTTGACACTAGGTCACAGTTTCATAATCCACAGAAAAAGGTAATAATGTTCTCTCTGTCTCTTTCTCTCTTTCTCTGTCTCTCTCTTTCTCTGTGTGTGTCTGTCACCAAACTAAACATGTTTTTGTCTGTCAATCAAATGTGGGTAGCCACCAAACTAAACATGTTTTTGTCACACTACAACTGATCACTTTATGTATATTTCATACAGTTTTCTTGGGGATGTAAAAATTATTGACAATTGTTTTCATAGTTCTCACCTCTATACAAATCGCCCTGGTTACCACAGTGACTCTGTGGGATATTCATTTCTAATGGAAAGATATGATGCTTGTTGCCATTTGAAACCATAGCAACTGACTCAAGGGTTATGTCCTAGTTTCAACAAGATACCTTACTAATTTCCTTAAATGATATCACATCTTTGGAAGGCAAGTTATTCTATAGGCTCTATAACAAAAAGTCAATATCATGTGACAATCAACATAGATCAGAAGGTAACTCTAAATGATCCTACAGTGCCCAAAAGAAGCTTACATCCCATTAGAAAGCAATTCTAGAAATCTAAGAATAAAAGTTTAAAAATGCTGTCTTCTAATGTATATGTAATCCAAATGTTCATTAAGGTAGCAGGATATAATTAAGGAATTTAAATAAAATACTTAATAAAGACAATAAGTAAAATGTTTAAATGTATGTGTGTGGGGGCTCGCACACATGGATGCATCTGGACTTGCATGCTTGTGAGTACATGATCATGTGGTACAAACGTGTGTGCAAGTGTGTATCCATGTGACTAGACTCCAGAGGTCAAATTCTGGTGTTATTCCCCAGGAACTACCCTCCTTGCTTTTTGAGACCAGGCCTCTCATTGGCCAGGTGCTCACCAAGCAAGCTAGACTTGCTGACGAGCAAGGCCCAGGGACCCTCTAGTCTCCTCCCCTGCATGGAAATTACAGGTCCTTGTTTCCACACCTGGCTTCTTCACAGTGGTTCTGAGGGTTTAAAGTGGGTCTTCATGATTACATGGCAAACATTTCACAGACTGAACTGTCCCCCCAGCCTGAATGTTACGTATTTCTACTCATCTCAGAGTGTTTTATTTAGAAAAGGGGGGCAACTAAGATGAAAAGAGTACAATGGACGGAAAGTTTGGGAACTGCTAGCAGCTACACACTGGTTGACAAGCATACGGGTACTTTGTATGAAACAGATATCTGGTAGCCAGTTTCATAATAGAGGTCTGCTATGAGTGGCTAGCCTCACCTGGACAAGTGGTCTAGCATCATTTGCTCCTCAACAGTTTGCTTCTTCTTCTCTGCAGCCATGGTTTCCTGAGAAGATAAAATAAAAACAACTTTATTATCCACAAATAAAAACAGCTAAGACACATTATAAAATATTTCTGATGTTTCCCATAGGTATAGATGACTATTATTAATGTGAAATTTCAATTAGTAGTTTTTGTTTGTTTGTTTTATTTTGTTTCTCAAGACAGGGTTTCTCTGGTTCTCTGTGTAACAGTCCTGGCTGTCCAAGGATTCACTTTGTAGACCATGCTAGCCTCAAACTCACAGAAATCAGCCTGCCTCTGCTCCCAAGTGCTGGGATTAAAGACTATGCCACCGCCACCAGGTATTTTTTTAAAGACCTGTTTATTTTATGCATATGAATGCTCTATCTGTATGTATACCTGCATGCCAGAAGAAGGCACTGGATCCCATTATCAATGGTTATAAGCCAACATGTGGTTGCTGGGATCTGAACTCAAGATCTCTGGAGGAGCAGTCAGTGTTCTTAACCACTGAGCCATCTCTCCAGACCCATTAAATCTTAAATTACCATTCCCTAAAAGTGAATGCACTAGAATTTCAGTAGACATCATGATCCATTTCCAAAAAGTTGCCTTGCATTTCCCAGTCAGAACAATGGAGGAGCCCCTGGTGGCATGTCCTGCAAACCCCATCTCAACTTGCTGTAGGGAGACCAGTCCTCAGCACGAACACATACACACAAGTGGTGATATCTTGTCCGTGGCTTTCCCTCTATATCTGACTCCGGCTTTTTTACTATCAAGACCCATTAAGAACTCCGTTTGCACACACATCCCACAGAAAGAGAGAATTTTGTCTAAACACATCACAGTAGAGAAGACAAACAGAATTGAAATCATTCAATTTTCATCAAAAACCTAAAGGAAGCTGATAAGGTGGCTCAGCAGGCAAAGGCACCTGCCGTCAAGCCTGATGATCTGAGTTCAATCCCTGGGGCCCACATGATGAAAGGAGAAAACTGACTCCAGTAAGTTGTCCCTGACCACCAGATGCTCACTGGTATAGCCATGCCCACATACATACACACTCAAGTATGTTAAGTAACTAACTGATTAATGTAAAAAACTCATATCATAGAAAGAATAACAATCTTTTCCCTGTACATAATGAATTAATAATGATAATGTGTTCATGATTACTGATTGCATTAAACTGCCTTCATAAATGCTTCCTTCTAGACATGGCATGACTACTGTACTCTTAAACCCAGGGCAACAAGAGATATCTGCACAAGACCTGTACAAGAGCCAGAGAATCAAAATTCTGGCATAGGTAAGGGCAGTGCTCTCCTGGCCCCACCGCTTTCTGAGAACTATTGGCAGTTGACAGCTGCTGGAGAAAGAAGAACTGTTCTTCTTTGAAGGTGTGGTCAGCAGTAGGTTTGTCATGCTCCTGTTGACTGCCCAGCATGCATATGCATATGTATAACACTGATCAGACAGAGCTCTCTCTCTCTCTCTCTCACACACACACACACACACACACACACCACACATAAAAGACATTAAGTTGGGAGGGGGATTGTTGTGGGAGATAAGGGGAGAAGTTGCAGGGATCAAATAGGGGCAAATATGATCATATTTCATTGTATATATGTGTGAAATTCTCAAAGAAATTTTTATTTAAAAATTACAAAAACTGTTTTCACATTATTTTTTCCTTTCCAGCTCACCTAAAAATATGTTTTGCTACATTTTAGGAAATATTCATTTGGAAGATTTGTTCAATTCCAGTTAGCTTATCATGCAACTGTAAACACTAAAATGTTTCTTTTGAGAGACAGATCTTAGAGTGTAACTCCTGCCATAGCTGCTGATCACTCCAAAACAAATGTGATGCGACTGTCTAAAAGAGAGGCTTTGCAGCCTTAGTTTTATTTGAAACAGACATAAAATAGCGAATAAGATTGTCAAAGATCATAGCACCAGAATAAAAAGCAAAAAATCCTAAGAAATCTAAAAAATGAGCACAGTCACCTAAATGGTAGTTTATAATTAACTTTAGCTTTTATTGGGCAGAAATTTAAGATACATCTGAATACACCCCGAATAGAGCTTATATCACTTAATAACTACATTCTGTGCTGTTCTCTGAGGTCATGACATCACAATTTTCACCTAATAATAAATTTAAAGCAGCAATTAAATAGAAAGTAAGCAATGCAGCAGCATGCACTTTATGATATTGAAGGGTAGTACAGTAAGTAGACAATAACTAAAACACACTTAAACTATATACAGAAAAATCCACAGTGGCCAAAACACTGTTGAAAAACCCAAAAGCAAGCAGAAGAGAGCCATTAGTGGCCATCACAGTGTCCATGCAGAAAGCCCAGCTTGAGGCTACGGTTTACGGTGGCTTAGACTTCCTGGCAAGGATTGGAACCACCTGCATACCACTGATTTAAAGATCTGCGTGCATGAGGCAACCTAAAAGCACAGGTGACCTGGACACTGCAAAGGTGCCAGAGGAGCTTTGAGAAGAGGGTCGTCAAAAACCACATCTCTATTTTCTTTTAAGTCACTAGAAACCAGATGGAGGCGCCTCCACCGGCATTTTTTTTTCCAATCAATGAGTTTCAGACACTGTCAAAATTCACTCATACTGGCATGTCTGTGGAGGGTACAAAACAGATATCCAGCGGGGCTACTGCCAGGAAGCAAATGTTGAGCTCACTTGATGATGCCATTGTAAAGAAAGGAAAGCCATTTCTTGCCAGATGGTTTGGGGTTATGGCCAGTACAGTATCGGTGGCACTTAGGTACTGGCAACACCCATTTCAAATACAGTTTCAGGGGATAACAGAGTTCACCTTATCTGGGGCAGAATTTTTGACTTGTGAGTAGCCTTTGTCATTTTTATATGATAGCCTTGGTAAAGCTCCTTATTCCTCTGAACATAATAGGCACAGAAATTTGCTTGTGCAGTTCTACAGCAAGAACTGTAACAGATTCACACACACACACACACAAGCCATTCTCTCCATCCCACAGTGAAATACATTACATACTGATTCTTGATGAAAGAAACCAAAAGATTGTTTTTCCCCCCTTAAATCATCAGTTCTCAACCTGTAAGTCATGATCACATTGGGAGTCACATATATCACAGATATCCTGCATATGCAATATTTACATTATGATTCATAACAACAGCAAAATGACAGTTATGATGTAGAAACAAAAATAATTTTATAGTTGGGGGTCACCACAGCATGAGGGACTATATTAGAGGGTCATAGCCTTAGGAAGATTGAGAACCACTACCTTAAATCATAACACTTCTGTAGCTGGGTAAGGCATATTGTGCTGTCATTATTAGGACCACTCAAACCACAGCTTTCCACCTTGTGAGTTACTGTGTTGGTATTTTATCAGCCTTTATGGGATGCCTAAGATATTACTCTCATGGCAATTAGGGAGGGCCAAAGAACTTTACCTGTAAGCAGATTTTCACCCTTACAACAGAATACCAGAGAAGTGTGATGATTATTTGTAACAGGCATGGCCTAAGTAGTATTCATAAGCCTAACTGATTTTGAAAATAAATACAAAAGTTTTCGTTTAATATTAAAAGCCCGAAGCGTGTGTGTGTGTGTGTGTGTGTGTGTGTGTGTGTGTTTACATGAACCCCTGTGTGTGGGGCAGATGACAAACTGGGGTATTGTTCTTGAGACTCCATCTACCTGTTTTTGCTTTGTTTTTGTTTTTTTTAAGACAGTCTCTCATTGGCCTAGAGCTCACCAATTAGGCTAAACCAATGGTTGTCAACCTTCCTAACGCTGTGACCCTTCAGTACAGTTCCTCATGTTATGGTGACCCCCAACAGTAAAATTATTTTCACTGTTACTCCATAACTGTTATTTTGCTGCTGTTGTGAATCATAATGTAAATTTTTTAATACAGAGGTTTGCCAAGGGGGTCATGAAGCCACGGGTTGAGAACCACTGCGCTAGCCATCTGGGCCACTGTGCTCCAGGATCAATGTGACGCTACTCCTTGTACGAGATTACCAGTGTGTGTAACCACACTCGGCTTTGGTTAAGTGGGTTCTGAGCATAGAACTCAAAGCCTTGTGATCTCAAGGCAAGTACTTCACTGACTGAATCATCTCTCTGGCCCCCAAGACTACAGTCTTCATTTTTTTTTTTTTTTTTTTTTTTTTTGGTTTTTACGAGACAGGGTTTCTCTGTATTGTTTCAGAGGCTATCAGTCCAGCCCAGCCTCGAACTCACAGAGATCCGCCTGCCTCTGCCTCCTGAATGCTGGGATTAAAGGCGTGTGCCACCACCGCCCGGCTACAGTCTTCATTTTACCTACAGAAAACTTCCTTGACTCCTGGACTTTTCCACAGCTGGCCTAAATTTCTATAATATCAGTAGCTCATGAATTATATATGTATGTGTGAGTTTATAAATATATCCATATATATTTATGTATGCTATAAGCATATGAGAATATATATATATAATTATGTATACATAGAGAGAAAGGGTTTTGATGGAGAAAGGCAAAGGGAGAAATGTTGCAATTAAAACAATCTTAAATATAAGTCAAATTCAAAGCATACTAAGACAGTGGCCAATTAATATTTTGAGCATGTTAGTATTCAAGCATCTCTACTGGCCTGTCCTTGGGATTCTGATAAAATACCCCCTTAGCTGCAGCCACTAAGAGCACCACCTGTGCCTATTCACTGTGTTTCCTTTTAAAAGGGCCCTGCCCACGTCCCATCTCTCTCTCCCTTTCTCTCCCTGTCTGTCTGTTCTCTCTCTCTCTCTCTCTCTCTGTCTCTCTCTCTCCCTCTTTTTTCTCTCTCCCCCTCTTCCCCCCTCTTTCCTCTCCCCTCTCTCCTGCTGTTCCTGTCTCCAGAGGCTGGTCTTCCTGCTTCCCTTTCCCCTTTTTATAATCCCTTTGCCAAATAAACACCCCCTCTGCTTGAACCTTGTAGCATGGTGTCTTTCTCTAGAGGGCCACTTTTCTTAAATTACAACAGAGCAGAGTAAACTAAATTTTCATAAATTCAATTATTCAAAACAAATTTTCCTCCGAAAATATACCTAACACAAATAAATTGCTTAGAAAAACTCACTGTTGTACCACTTTATTCACTTACAACTGTAAAATCTTGAGGGTAAATACCTTAGTGACTTATCAAACAAAACTGCTGATGGCTTACCGCATCTGATTTCCTTGCGCTGTTCCTTACATGGTAAGGGCTATCTGCATAACCTTGCTGTAGCAGGGCTTTCCTATCCAAAGTCTCAAGGTCATCCACACTGGCTTCTTCCACCTGATCATGCTACACAATGAAGAGAGAAGATGAGCCATCAGGAACATATTCACAATGCCTGCTTCTAACATAACCAGGGAGGAGATAACCAGTAAACAAATCGAAGGCTGTCTGAGAATTAAGAGTACATGCCTGTCTTGGAATGCAGGTCTTCCATTTGTTCAGCTAGATAACCTTTCTTAGTTTCATTTTGTCATAAACTGGGAATAACTGTGGATGCTACATCAAAAAATGGTAAATGAGATGGTAAACGCTTACAGCATATAAAGTACCTGATATACAGTGAATGTTAAGTAAAAGACAGAAATGGGCATAATTACCATTGCACAAATTGAGTCCTTAAAATATTAATAAATGTGGATATGTCCTGTGGCAAGGAGAGGAAGTCCTGTGTGGTATGCAGTCCTGAAAGAATGTGTGTTGTCGACATGGGCAAAGCCATGTCAAGGACTAATGCCTCAGCCCCATGGGAGGCCTCAAAGCCTTCCCAGGATAGACTCAAGTGAAATGGCAAAGCCTTCCCTCGTGGTCCAAGTGTGAATGTGGATTAGGAGTGCAGAAAATGTCCACCATAACTTTCTCCCTGCAGATGTTTACAGCCTGAGGAATGTTCCCCTACAGAGACAGCTCTGTAGATTAGCTACACCTGCCTCCTCTTTGAGCAACATACAATAACGGTAGCTCTGTGTTTATCAGGATGAATAACCCTGCCTTCCTGTTCAACTCTATATGATAAACTGAGCTTCCGGGGTGCTGTGGGTTTTCCACTGAGAGCCCTGTCTACCCAATTCCAGCATTTTCGTTCTTCATTCCCTCCCTGCCCAAGTTGGGTAACTCCCTGGAGGTATGTAGAAGGAGCTCTATTCTACACAAAGATATATTTGGAAGTACTAAGGGAGTCTTGGAGATTTCAAAAAGATTACCACCAGAACTTTCTATAAATGTGAGGTATATCATCCGTTAACTAACAAAGCAACTAGTGAAGAGCCTGACAGACTTGAGGTGTTTCTTCTCTGGGATTTCTCCTCACTGTCCATCTTCTTTGGAAGGTCACACATATGAGAATATCGGAATAATGTTTTCTTTTTGAAAGATACAATAGGGGCTTTGTCTTGAAGATTAACCTAGTTGATGTACATGAAGGACTTTAAATAGCCCTGACTTATTGAAACAAGTGTTCAGTATTAAACTTTCTAAATTAACAGCAGAAATGATATTTCTAGGGCACAGGCATTGTTCACTTTAAATTTCATGAATACTTTACCAAGGTTGACTGTTACCTTTTCATTCACCTTGCTTCTTGAAGTGTCTTGCGTGCCAGTTGCTTTTGCTTTTTCTGCAGTTCTCTGAATGTACTGTTTATAACCCTCTTTCATATCGGTTGCATATTGCTGATATTTTAGCTTGTATTTGCCCGTTGGTGCTGGCAGATCCTCAGGTACTATGTCCTGTTCCTAGAGCCAAAACAGAAAGTATGCTGCCCACCAGAAAAGTATTTTTTCATATTTTTTTAAATTATTTGGGAATTTCACTTCATAAACCCAAGCACACTCACTTCCCAGTCTTCCCAGATCCTCCTCGAAACCCTTATCACACACACACAAACACATACACATGCGTGCACAAACACACACATACACAGAGAAAAGAAGAAAAAAACAAACCTAATTTGTATTGTCCCTATATTCACTGGAGTATGGTCAAACTCCCAGTGACCAACCTCGTTCTTCCCGGCCTGTAACCCTTCCAGATGCCATTGGCTGTGGAAAGCTACACTTCAGCATCCTTATCAAAGTCTTGAAGAGTTCTCTTTGGTGGTCAAGAAGGGTTTTGTTGTTGTTGTTGTTTGGGTTTTGCTTTTTGTTTTGTTTTGGCTGGGGCGTTGTTTGGTTGGGTGGGTGGGTGGTTTTTTTTGTTTGTTTGTTTTGGGTTTTTTGTTTTGGTTTTGGTTTTTGTCTGTTTTATTTTTTGAGACAGTGTTTCTCTGTAGAGGCCTGGCTGTCCTGGAATTCTCATTGTAGACCAGGCTAGTCTCAAATTTACAAATATCCACCTGCCTCTGCCTCCTAAGACTGGGATTACAGGTGTGCACTAGCCCTGCCTAGCCAGAAAAGGTTTTTGGTTTTGTTTTGTTTTGTTTTAATAGTAGTTTTCTTATTGACTTTGCCAAGCTTACCATTTACTTTAGCACTTAGCTCTAAAGATAACTGACTAACTACCATAGTCTGTGTTCCAAACAAAAAGAAGAGCACAGAACTGACCAGAATGGGCACACGGCCTAAGGAATCCTTTACTCTGCTTGGCTAAAGGTATACTACAAAAGAATTAGCATCCAGGTTTTTTTTCCTTAGATATTTTACGTAGGTCTTTTATTTTCTGATCAAAACAGTCCTAGGAAGCAGTGGTTGATATTTCCACAGTATTACTATATTTTACCCCCTATTATTTTGTGGTTGCTTGTCAAATTTCCATTAGTCCTGACTTAGATAGGCACAGATACTGAGTGAGCGAGTGAGTGTGTGTATGTGTGTGTGTGTGTGTGTGTGTGTGTGTGTGTTTATAATAACCCTTGGAAAGTTTTGAGGAGATCAAAAGTATAACAGAAAAGAAAGCTGAGGCTATTGATGGATTTTTGTATGGTGAACCACCACTGCATCCCTGGGATGAAACCTACTTGATCAGGGTGGATGATTGGCTGATGTGTTCCTGGATCTGATTTGCCAGTATTTTATTGAGTATGTTTGCATCAATGTTCATGAGGGATATTGGTCTGAAGTTTCTCTTTCTTAGTTGTGTCATTGTGTGGCTTGGGTATCAAGGATATTGAAGCCTCATAAAAAGAGTTTGGCAAAGACCCTTCTGCTTCCATTGCATTGAATAAATTGAGAAGAATTGGTATAACCTGTTATTTGAATTTCTGGTAGAATTCTGCACTGAGACCATCTGGACCTGGGCTCTTTTTTGGTTGGGAGATTTTGATGATTGCTTCTATTTCCATAGGGGTTATATGTCTATTTAAATTGCTTATCTGTTCTTGATTTAATTTTGGCAAGTGATATCTATCCAGAAAATTGTCCATTTCCTTTAAATTTTCAAATTTTGTGGAGTATAGGTTTTCAAAGTATGACCTGATGATTCTCTGCATTTCCTCAGTGTCCGTTGTTATGTCCCTAAACATAATAAAAGCTATATACAGCAAACCAACAGCCAACATCAAACTAAATGGACAGAACCTCAACCTGATTTCTCTAAAATCAGGAACAAGACAAGGCTGTCCACTCTCTCCATACCTCTTCAATATTATACTTGAGGTTCTAGCTAGAGCAATACAACAACAAAAGGAGATCAAGGGAACACAAATTGGGAAGGAAGAGGTCAAACTTTAACTATTTGCATATTTGACCCGAAAAATTCTACCAGGGAACTCCTACAGCTGATAAACACCTTCAGCAAAGTGGCAGAATACATGAGTAATTCAAAAATATCAGTAGCCCTACTATATACAGACGATTAATGGGCTAAGAAAGAAATCAGAGAAACATCATCCTTTACAATAGCCACAAAAAACATAAAATATCTTGGGGTAACATTAACCAAACAAGTGAAAGACCTGTATAGCAAGAACTTTGAATCTTTATAAAATGAAATTAAAGAGGACACCAGAAAATGGAAAGATTTCCCATGCTCGTGGATAGATATGATCAACATAGTAAAATGGCAATCTTGCCAAAAGCAATCTACAGATTCAATGCAATCTCTATTAAAATCCCAGCACAATTCTTCACAGACCTTGAAAGAACAATAATCAATTTTGTATGGAAAAACAAAAGACCCAGGATAGCCAAAACAACCCTGTTCAACAAGGCAACGTCCGGAGGCATCACCATCCCTGACTTAAAGCTCTATTATAGAGATATAGTCCTGAAAACAGCTTGGTATTGGCACAAAAATAGACAAGTAGATCAATGGAATTGAACACCCTGATATTAACCCATACATGTATGAACATCTGATCTTCGACAAGGAAGCAAAAATTATACAATGGAAAAAAGAAAGCATCTTCAACAAATGATGCTGGCAGAACTGGATGCTGGCATGTAGAAGACTGCAGATAGATCCATGTCTATCACCATGCACAAAACTTAACTCTAAATGGATCAACTACCTCAACATAAATCCAGCCACACTGAACCTGTTAGGAGAGAAAGTGGGAGGTACCCTTGAACAACTTGGTACAAGAGACAGCTTCCTGAACATAACACAAGTAGAACAGACACTGAGATGGACAATTAATAAATGGGACCTCCCGAAACTAAGAAACTTCTGTAAGGCAAAGGACACAGTCAGCAAGGCAAAAAGGCAACCCACACAGACTGGGAAAAGATATTCACTAACCCCACATCTGACAGAGGGCTGATCTCTAAAATTTACAAAGAACTCACAAGCAGGTCTCCAAAACACCAAAGGATCCAATTAAAAAGTGGTCTACAGAACTAAATAGAGAATTCTCAATAGAAGAGTCTAAAATGACTGAGAGGCACTTATGAAACTGCTCAATATCCCCGGCCATCAGGGAAATGCAAATCAAAACAACTCTGAGATACCATCTTAATCATGTCAGAATGGCTAAAATCAAAAACACCAATGACAGTTTATGCTGAAAAGGATTTGGAGAAAAGAGAACACTCCTCCACTGCTGGTGGGAGTACCAATTCATACAGCCACTTTGGAAATCAGTATAGAGATTCCTCAGGAAAATGGGAATCAGCCTACTACAAGACCCAGCAATTACACTCTTAGGCATATACCCAAAAGTTGTACACTCATACAAGGACGTCTGTTCCACTATATTCATAGTGGCATTATTTGTAATAGCCAGAAACTAGATACCCCACAACTAAAGAGTAGATAGAGAAAATGTGGTACATTTACACAATGGAGTACAATTCAGGGAAAAATACAATGAAATCTTGAAATTTGCAGGCAAATGGATGGCACTAGAAGAAACCATCCTGAGTGAGGTAACCCAGTCACAAAAAGACAAACTCATATATGGATTTTAGACATGGATCAGGGGAGTGCCAGCCTACAATCCCACTGCCAGGGAGTCTGGGAAACAGAACCTTCAACCAATGATTGATGAAAGTAGAGGCAGACTCCCACAGCTAAACACTGAGCTGAATTCAAGGAACCCAGTGACAGAGAGGGAGGACTGATGAACCTAGGGGTAAAGATTGGGCTTGTTTAACCCACAGAAACAGCTGACCTGAACAAGCCGGAGCTCTTGAACCCCAGACTGATAGCTGGGAATCCAGCATGGGACTGATCCAGACCCCCTGAATATGGGTGTCAGTGAGAAAGTAGGTCCAGGTCATCTATGAGGCCCTGGGTAGTAGATCAGTATTTATCCCTGGCATACAAATGGACTTTGGGCTCCCATCCCACAATGAGAGATGCTCTCTCAGCCTGGACTCTTAGGTGAGGGCCTAGGCCTTGCCATGGATGAAATGATAGGGCTTTACCCTCCCTAGGGAAAGGAGTGGGGATTGGGGGCAGGGTTGGTGGGAGGAGAGGAAGGAGAGGGAGAGGGAGCTGGGATTGAAATGTGAAGCAACATTGTTTCTAATTTAAATTTAAAAAAGAAAAGAAAGCTGAGGCCAAATTTAGAGCAATAGCCATTGTAACATACAGACTAAAGTGGTATTATTATTATTATTTTATTGTTGATTAAGTTGAATTATTTATTTATTCTAGAAGCTTAAAGTCTGAACTAATTTCTAAGAAATCAATCTTCTGTCATTCAAATAATAAGATGTGATCTCATACTTCACTTTTTTTTTAATTCCTGGAATCCATACTTAAATACTTCTGTAATTTGCCAACTTTACAGAAAGTATTTAAACTGTCATTCCAGTATTTGAAAACTATAAAACTATTGCAACAGTAGCAAATTGTTAGAAATTTTCATATGCAAACTGTGTAAACTGAGCTGAGCATAGAACAATCAGCAAAAAGTTGAAGCTGAGGACAGCCCAAGGGATGTGTACTGTACCACTGAAACACATACTGACCTCTTTGTTTAGATAACGCTGAGTATACTGTCTTTGACATGGCACAACCCAACCCAGAGCAGAAGGCAACTGTGGCGACTTGAGATGAGCGTGCATTGTACTACGTGGCACTTGTGCAAAATCATCCTAAAAAAATAAAATAGAATGTTGGTACATGCTCATAGGTGCTACTGCAGTCAAATATTTGTTATATTAAACATAAAGTTACAATTACCTCCTCATCAGAGTCAACAAGGCTTCCCAAATCAAGTGGTGGGACCCTAAAAGAAATAATGTATGCAGCTCATAAATTTTAAGTGACTTTGTAATAACAGAAAAATCATTATCAAGTACCATTATCTATACAAAGTTACAATTAAGCTAATGTTGTGTTGGCTAGCAAGAAGTATAGTTTTTTGATCAATGTTAAGGAACTTTTCAAATTGATTATTAAACAGTCACTATTTTAATACTATCATAATTAATTAATAAAATATAATAATGAAAGTGTACAATTTTATAGTTAAATAAATTATATTCAGGACAAGGGTGGGGCTAAAGAGGTGCTCAACGACCAAGGTATTTTCCAGGCAGGACAGTAGTTCTGATGGCAGCTGCTTGTCATCAGCACTCAGGAGGATGAGAAGGGCTCCCTGAAGCACAGATGCATAACACACACATATACAGACACACTGGAAAGGAGCAAAGGCAGTAAGTGCTCCAAATCTATTATCCTAATGGCTTTCCTGCTCTGCTATTGCACATGCCCTAGCGTATCTCGTGTGCTGCTGATGTGAGCATATAGCAGGTTAGTAAGATCTATATCTCTGTCATATTATAAATGAACATGTCTCTATCCAACTGTGTTCCTTGAGGTCAACCAGCATTGCACTGTTTGCATGGAAATCAGCAAATACTATGAATCAAGAATTGGTTTACTGTTTTGTCGACTTCTAAGACTTAAAAAGTGGAGGGAGAAATATTAATAATGCAAATCAAATGAAATATATCATATATGTGGCTGTCAAGTAGTGGGTGTTGTCTTAGTTAGGGTTTCTATTGCTGCAAGGAAACACCATGGCCAAAAAGCAAGCTGGGGAGAAAAGGGTTTATTTGGCTTTTACTTAAGTAATGTTGTTCATCAATGAAGGAAGTCAGGACAAGAACTCAAACAGAACAGGAACTTGGAGGCAGGAGCTATTGCAGAGGCCATGGAGGGTGCTGCTTACTGGCTTGCTCCTCAGGGCTTGCTCAGCCTGCTTTCTTATAGAACCCAGGACCACCAGCTGAGGGATGGCACCACCCATCATGGGCTGGGCCCTCCCCCATTGATCACAAAATGAGAAAATTCCTCACATATGGATCTCAAGGTGGCATTTCCTCAGCTGAGGCTCCTTCCTCTGATGACTCTAACTTGCGTCAGATTGACACACAAAACCAACCAGTACAGTGGCATGAGAGAATATTCAGCAATATTATTTTAAGCATTCATAATTGGTTTCACAAGAAACCACTCATAATATTTTGTAACAAATAAAAATATCAACCAACATTCACACTGGAAATGATTCATCACTACAGCCATAGGCTAATTACAGATATTGAGAGAAAAACAAACAAATGAACAAAGCGCTCTATGCATACAAATTGGCTAAGTGGACTTTGTAATAGCTTAAACATTTTATTAGCTGTGTAAATTTCTTTCTATATATAATTTACTCAACAAACGCTTTGATGAACAACATGCACTTAGTTTTTATAAGAATGTAAGCACTTAGTAAATTTTCACGTCAACTGTAAAGGTATATTAGCAAACAACTGGAAGACCACTTGCTACCTTCTCCTTGACATGCCCCTTGCTACATAATCTATATTGTGTGTTCAGTATGTAAGCATAACTTTTTGTTTAAACATAGCTTATTTTTCATGTCTAGCTGAAGAAAAAGTATTTATCATGTAGATACAGATGAAATTATTGACTTTGCTTATTTTTAGTCTCTAAAAGTATTAATGTAGCATGGTTCGACCTAGCAAATTACATGTCTTGCGTATCTAAACTATAAGAAAATACACTTCAAGGTGTTTTATACTTTTAAAATATGTAAAACTATAACATATGACATAGTCTAAATAAAAAACAAAACTTTAATAATATTAGTTAGATTCTCATTCTTCGACAGAATAGGTTAAAATACAGGTGCTGTTACTATTAGATAACTTCTACAATGCCAATCACAAGATGAAGAATGTCTTACATTTCTTTAATATATGCATTTAGGATGGAAATGCTTACCCTGATTTATACATATATTAAAATACCCTACAGAATTCCTAAATATCATACAGTTTTGTGATGTTATATATCATTTTAAATTTAACTTGAACCTTAAAAAGACAAAAATTAGTTTTCTAAGAATGAATTCAAAAAAAAGAATGAATTCATTTTTTCAGAAAAATGTGAGAACAGTATTAAATAAGAACAACCGAATATTATCCATATCCCTACTATCCTATTAAAAAGAGGTTTTTTTAAATTCCAGAGTGATAATATTCAGGTTTTCTTTATGCAGGCTCTTCTACGGTTCACAATAGAATATATACATATATAGTTTTAATTACTCAAGGTATTGTAAATAAGTGCCAGTTTAGCAATAAAAAATATGAAGGAATGTAGCTCACATGAATCGACAGGGATTCTGGATTGCCCATGATCTTGAAGTCCATCCTTGCTTTAATTTAAGAGAGAGAGAAAGAGAGAGAGAGAGAGAGAGAGAGAGAGAGAGAGAGAGAGAGAGAGAGAGAGAGAGAAAATCAGTATGCATTAGACATTAAGAGATAAGTTATGACTGGATGCAATAAAGACAACTATAATTTTTTTCCATAAACACCATAAAAAATGCACCTCCCAAGACTCTTTCTGTTGTAATTAAGACACAGAGAAAATGATAACTAAGACAGATAATGTTCACCTTCCCAGCACTCTGCCAGTTGAGGAAGATGGACCCTCAAACAATGACAATCGTGGATCAGGCAGGAAGACAGTGACAGCCAGAGGACTGGGATGTCTCCTGTCATGTGTATACATGACAGAAAATCTGTACCCATGAAACCTCAACGACATGATTGTTTAGACAAGACACCACCAGTTGAGGTGCCATTGTGGATGGAGGAGATCTTTCAAGGCACCGCCCCTACATAAAGAGCTGCAGGCAATTCATGGCTGCTGAGAAAGAGAGAGAGAGAGAGAGAGAGAGAGAGAGAGAGAGAGAGAGAGAGAGAGAGAGAGAGAGAGATCCCTCACTCCAAGGAAAGGCCCCTAATGAGTTAACCAATCTCAAGTACTCAGCCCTAGGTACATATGCCAATGAACAACACTAAAGGAACTAGGTAGGTTATATTTATACATCATATACATATATATTATAATAAAGAGTAAGAGACCATGTAGGAGGGAGTTTAGGGAGCAGGAGGAGCTGGAAGGAAGTGAGGGAATAGAAAATGATATGAATATAGTACTCATGTATGGAATTATCAATAAACAAATAAATAAAAATCACTATAAAATACCAGCGAGAGAGACTGTATTTACTCCATGAAATACAAAGCAGGGGGGTCTTTAGAGTTGAGAAGGAGGTCACTGACAATACACATCCTGATACCCTTCCTACATAACTAACATAAAAACGTAAGATTTGCTCTGCAATCATTTTAATTTGGATTTACACACACACACACACACACACACACACACACACACACACACACACACAAAGCAAGTTGGTGACTGTTACATGATCCATAGCTCTGTGGCTTGATTATGTAGCCATCACTAATGTCATTAACTTCTTCACCTTTTTGTCTTTCAGTGTCCTGAACACTCGGAGAGTGGAGGTGCCATTTCCAGTAAAGCCTTTCGTTTGGGCTACATTCCATTTTCTCTGTTTTAAAGGTCTATGGTCTTCCTTTAAATGTTTTCCTGAGTTGAGTTTAACACTGTTGGAATGTGAACCTCATCTCTAAGACTAAAGGTCTCTTGAGGGAAGTCTTCATTTCATTTATTGTGGGGTGTTTAGTTCTGAGCATTATACTAAGCACATTATGAGTACAAAATAAATAAAACTCAAGGGATTTAGTCACTGAAATTCCATTTTAAATGAACAGTATATGAGTTAGAGAAAGTTTAGTTTATGATCTTTCAAATCTTCTTTTGCATGTAAATTATACTCTATCTTATATGACCACTAAAACTACTTTTAGAGCATTTAATATATAAAATCCTTATATATAGAGTATGTGATCAAATATGCCATTTAAAATGTACCAATTAAACATATATCTACTAGTATGTAATAGGGCAACATTCTGAAGGAAATGATATTTTCTTCTTTATGTTTTCTTCTTTCTCTTAAATATTCTGAAAATACATGGGGATTTATTTTTATCTATTTTATGTGTGTTGGTATTTTGCCTGAGTGTATCTCTGTGTGAGGGTGTCGGGTCCCCTGGAACTGGAGTTACAGTTTTGAGCTGCCTGGTCCTCTGGAAGAGCCGGTCAGTGTTCTTAACCACTGAGCCACCACTCCAGTCCCACATGGGGATTGTTTAAATAACAATAATAAAGCAATATTCTTAAAATTAAAACAAAATCAAGCAGTGGCAAATTTTAAGATAATAATTATCTTCAATTTTGGTGACCCCAGACTTTCAAATCTAGGAAAGGCTGATCCTAAATATTTGTGAGTGGAGACAGTCATAAAAATAGGAGCAAAGGATGGTGGAAGCAACTGAAGGTATCATTCTGTAAGAGGAAAATTCCAGAGCATACATACTTGTAGTGAATTCTTTCGTCGAGAAAATAAGCGAGGTTGGCTCCTAGACGCAGCCACTCCTTTGACCTCTAAATCCATTCAAATGAATGTATTTCTCATGCAATATGCTGTACTTTTAAGAAGATAAAATAAATGCAAAATGGTTATTCTAATTCTACTTTTAAATAACCCATGCACAGTACTTTTCCATAGAAAGAAGTTATTGTGTTTAGTGGTATGGCTAGTAAGAAATCATTATTGAAGCCCGGTGGTAGTGGTAGTGTACGCCTTTAATCCCTGCACTCAGGAGGCAGAGGCAGGTGGATCTCTGTGAGTTCGAGGCCGGGCTGGACTGACAGCCTCCAAAACAATACAGACAAACCCTGTCTCGTAAAACCAAAAAAAAAAAAAAAAAAAAGAAATCATTATTGATTTTATAAACTAAAATAATTTGGGTGATGCAAATGCATCATGTTTCATTGAAGTCTGCATGGGTTATACCCAAAGAGGTCCTTATCCTCATCTCTATGCTCTGCGAATATGTCTCTTTCATGACAAAGGGATATTTTAGCTGGGATTAAATTAATGTTTGATGTGGGAAAGTTAACCTGTTGGGCTTATTGGATCTACACAGGTCCTTCTGGGCTTACGGAATCCACACAGATCCTTTGAAGAGGACTGCAGGAGGATCTAGCTGAGACAGAGAAGCAAAAATGAAATCACAAGTCAGAGAGGCACAGATGCTATGCAGCTGCCACCAAGGATGGGAAAGACTGTAAATTTTCTAGAATGTACAAGGGACAAGGAATGACTCTTCCTCCAGGACCTCCAAAAGGAATAAGTCCTGCTGGTTGCTTGTTTTTAGCAGTTCCAGACAAAATCTGTGCACTGATCTCCAAGATTAAATTGTAATACATTTATATTATTTAAAGGTACCCAGGCTGCTCTAAGGATTTAAGGAAAAATTGAGACACTAATAATCAGCCTGTCTCCTCTAACACATGAGTTTATTCTTCTTTATATTCGTTTCTTAAGCCAGTAGACTAAAGAAAATATTTCTACCAAACTTTATAGTTAGTAATGATGTAAGGATGTAAAGGAACATACTGCTTGTTAAATATACTCAATTTGTCAATAGGTACAAAATAAAAATCAAATTAATCTATCTGTCCTTAAAATATTGTGACCAAAATATTTTCATCAAAACATGCTGAGCTTAAATACGCCAGAAATAAGCCACTCAGGGTCATCCTCCAGAAGTTTGAACCAACCCTGACTGCAGAGTCATGTTGAGCAGAGCTGCCCTCTTACCTCCTGTAGCTGGTCACTCGGATGCCCCTGAAGATCCCAGAGACTGACACTCCCCACACATGTAATGTTCTTTCACACTTCCTTATATCAAACTGGGGGTTGTTTTCAGGTTGTTGTTTATTTGCTTTCTAAAAAGACAGGATGGTAGTGTCCCCTTAAGTCAGGTAAACTTACACTAAAATTCTGATTTTTGCTGAGTTCCCATGACTGAAGCTGAAGAAAGAATTTAATCTCTCTGAGTCAGTATTGATCATGTATAAACTAATTCTCACCCTGATGGAATGAGGTAGCATTTAGTGGATGACAAGTACCACTGTTATTTCAAGCCCAGTGTAATCTAACGCCAATTCTTTTGTACCTTATCTTTTTTGTTCTCCCCCTCCCACCACAAAGATGCTTCTTGAAAACTCACTCACCGTAGGCCAAGAATCCCACTCTAATAGAAAACTCAAGAATAGTTTCCAACCCAGAGTAAACATTCTGAAAACAAGACAAATCACAAAACTGGAAAATAATCTATTGACACTTCAAAGGGCTGTCTTTTCAGTGACCTTTCAATCAACAAATCATCACTTTCTGCTCCAAGCCTAAGGTCCATGATTTGGTCATATCACACATTTGTAGGGGAGGCTTGAAGTCTAGTGGTTCTGGCACCTGCCTAACATCCCAGGCATGCCAAATGGCAAGCTGTGGTGAGTTTTATTAGAACGGTTCCCATACGCTTACATTTTGGTCCCCAGTTGGTGGACTGTTTACGAAGGATGTAGCCTTGGTACAGGAAGTGTGCCTTTGGAGGTGGGCTTTGAGGTTTCAAAAACCTACATCAGACCCAGCCTCCTGTAATCTCCCACCTACTGCTCAGTGCCATGCCTGCTTGGCTGCTGCCAGGCTCCCTGCCAGGATGGCCACGAACTCACCCTCTGAAACGGCATTCAAGTCCCAATTTGCTTTCTTTTATTCCTTTCCTCAGTCATGGTGCATCTTTGCAGGATAGAACAGCAACTAATACACAAGCTACAGTTAAGATGCAGATTCTGAGCAGCCAATGCGTGGCTTTTGACACATTACCAACCTCCCAACTTCCTATCTTAGTAAGTATTGTCGACGGGCAATGGTGGCGCATGCCTTTAATCCCCGCACTCGGGAGGCAGAGGCAGGCAGATCTCTGTGAGTTCGAGGCCAGCCTGGTCTACAAGAGCTAGTTCCAGGACAGCCTCCAAAGCCACAGAGAAACCCTGTCTCAAAAAAAAAAAAGTAAGTATTGTCGCCATTGCAAATAACTATGACATTTCAAATCACTAGACAGGGCTTGCATCAATAAGAAGAGGGAATAAAAAGTCCAGAATGTCCTGCTCCTACTGTCCCCTGTGCTTCTCTGGTGTCATTAACACTCTGCATTCCTATGTAAGATCACAACCACAAAGGCTGGCATTTACTGCCCTTCATATAACATACATTCTTAATAAATAGTTATCTTTTCAATAAATACATTGATTCATCCTAAATGGTCATATACACTTGGGATATACCCGTGTTGGATTCAATCCTCTACATCTATGATAATCACAATTCCAACATACAAGTCTTTCTGGAAACAAAGGGGTAAAGTACTTGTAGTACTGAATAGCACCTAGGACTCCAGTAAATCTGCAAGCTTATGAAAGCAATGGCTACTAAGGCTGTTCCCTTTCTATCCCAGGACTCAGCAGAAAGTCTAGGAAATGAGAGAATTCAGTCAATTAGGTATGAGTTAACTCAGAATGACTCAGCATAAAAGTGACTCATTTTTAAAAAGTGATTCATTCAAATAAAAATAAGACTATTGGAAGGGAAATGTTGCTATAAAGGGCACACTGGAGTCTATAGGATTAGTGTGTACCTACTAGAACCCCAATTAGAAAATCTATAGATTTGGACAGGGCTTCAAAAGTTAAAAATCTCCCAAGAATCTGACTTTTACACTGAGCAAGCTGAGACACAGAAAAAGGAATGTCACTTGGTTTAACCCATGCCACTTACTACAGAGCCTTAATTCATACCCAGGCTCTAGATCTCTTTCCAATACCCCACCCTTGCTGGTCCAGAAAACAGAGGCCTCAGGAAGCAATCTGTTGTAAGGACTAAAGAAAGCCTAAAACCTAAGCTTGGAAATTCAAGACTAGACATTTTATGTAAGTGACTGAAAGCTGAGCTTTGGATTGCATGCCAATGCCTGCACTTGGGCTGAAATACAGAACTTACAAAAGCAAGTGAGGGATGGCCAGGCTCCTGGCCCAATCACACCACTGTGAGTGTGAGATGCTGCCGCCAGCCTTAGGTACTATTGCTGACTACTGCCTTTGGTGCTCTTAACCACTAGTCATAGCTGCACCCTTGCTCATTTCTTAACACTGCCCATTTCCACCTCTAGTTACCATTGTTTCTCTCCTGGCAAAAGGATCAGTGGCTTCTAATTTGTTTATGCAAATTTTTATGCAAAGTCAGAACACAAGTGAATGGAAGAGATAATGGAAATCTAATGTAGTTCATAAACAAAGGAGAGGGAAAAGATCAATAAGTACGGTTCGGTACTCAAGTTCCATGAGAGACACAGACCAATCCCACCTTGAATCCGAGGTGATAACCGACCCAAGATCTGAAATTAAACAAAAAGTTGTACCTAGCTCAATTAAAATCTTACTTCCCAGTACCTGAAGTGCTCCAAAGGTGCCCCTTCATGCAGGCCTCAAAGGCAGGCTAGGGACACAGAGCAAGCCAAGTTGACTTGACCTCACAATGTTAGGTCAAACCCAGGATAGAAGGGCTGGAAGGGGTACAAACCAGGGAGATTCCACTAAGAACTCCCTTCTGGGAGCTTCCCACAAGCAGGCCCAAGGGGCAGTTCCCAGCAAACACAACAGTTTAGAGCTGCTCCTCAGGTTGCTAGGCAACCAGGAACAGTTCATTGGGCTTCCTATTTGCACTCTCCAAATTACCCGGTAATAAAAGGGGCTTCAATACCAAGTCCTTAGTTCCTTCCTCGCCACCTCTGGTTCCATGATGTGCCTCCCATCCTTCCACCCTGCTGGCAAACTCACCCCGAAGTTGAAAGAGTTTCTGATTCAGGTTGTAGGCTCTCAGGCCTGAGACCCAGCTCAGTCCTAAACCCCGGACTGGAGCAGAAGCACCGGAAGGGACTCACTCACAGCAAGCTCCTCCTGCATCAAGAGAGCGCCAAAACCCGGCAAGGATCATGGTCATTGGTGGATCATGGTCATTGGTGGATCATTCATTTTATGGAATTCCTGTGAACATTGTTTCACAGACCCACTACCCTATGTCCAGAGTCCATATATTTCAGAAGAAAACAACATACTTAGCACCAATTTTCCCACCCAAATCTTAGCTATTTCTGGTTGGGCTGCAAAGATCTGTCCATAAAGGGACAAGGCTGGCTGACAAATTTGTGAAATTTGATTCTGATAACAATAGGTGGTATCTTCACCACTGCAATGCCAGATCTACAAATCTTATAAGGCTTTAAATTGTATGAATTTATTTTTTTGCTCACTGCAGTATCTTTTGAAAATTAACTGTTGAAAACAAGAATGTTTCAAGTATATTAAATAAAATTCCAAATCTATTTTGGAGGTATAAAAACACCTTACGACAAGTGGAGATCCAGCTCCGGTGCCTGGCATGTTTGAGGTGGGATTTGATCCCCAATGCTTCACACATCTATTGCAATGGTTAGTCCCAGCACTCAGGAAGTGGAGACAGGGGGATCCAAAGTCTAAGTTCATTCTCAGCTACACAGTGAGAGCCTGAGCTACATGAGACCCTGTCACAAAAGCAAAAACAAACACAAAACTTATTAGAGTTCCTCTGTTTCCTCCCCTCCCCCAGTGTGGAATTATAGGCATGCAAGTCTAAGCCTGGATTTTTACATGGGTGCCAGAAATTCAAACTCAGATCCTCATGGTTGAAGAACATGTATGCAGTCTTACTCCCTGGGCCATCTCCAGTCGCTACAATTTTTTCATTTGAACTTCATGTTTTCCTTTCAATATTTATTCACATATTCACTCAGTCTTTCATGCAGTTAACACACACAATCTGCTAATGTAGCAAAGATTAGAAAAAGTAAGATATGTAAGCCTAGGGATCATTGCCTACTAAATCAATGATGGAATCAGGGATGTTTACTAGGCTCTTTGTGCGCACAAAAGACAAACGAAATACAGTTTCTGTGGTCAAGAAAGTTAAAACATACAACAACAAAAAAATAGCATGCTCGTTTCTTTATTCAGTCAACAAACTTTTGTTGAAGGCTTAATGTATGTGTTGTAGATAGTAGAGAAAAATCAGCGAAGAAGGGCAGGTGCTACATAAATGGACATAGTTTAAATTAGCAATTGATTATTGAAGAAATATGGGCACCTTCCAGTAGGGACTGCAGGAAGATGAGTGGAGACTTGAGAGAGCAAGGAGCAGCATTCTTGCCAAGCTGACATCGCTGAACCAAGGAGGTGTCCACAAACAGGACCAATGTGTCAGCCATGTCAGCCATAGTCTGCTTATATTATGGAGGCACGGAGGTATATACACAAGTGTAACAATACGCATACCTCTATTTGTATTGTAGTGTGGGATGTGAGAAATGTGTGCCTATGTGTGTGACACCCCAGCAGTACACGCAGAAATCTCTCATCAGCAGATAACCAGAAACACGTCTTCTCTCACTCCATAGGAATTCTGTTAGGATCCTCAGATTTGCTGTTGTTGTGGTGTATGTTTTGTTTTCTTTCTATTTTCATCTAGTAACTTAATTTCTGCTTTCTGCTAAAGAAAAATGGTAACTAGTTTCATTAAATGAGTTTTTGGCTATTTGTTTTGCTGGTGAGGTTAACTGACTAGAACATTCAGTGAGTGTAAATGTGTATTTACTTTTAATTAAATGGCACTGTAAGTTACCTAAATATTAAACAACCTAAGTATTGTAGATATCCACCTAGAAATACTGAAAAATATCACTAGCTGTAACAGAAAGTTTCTGGTTTATTGGTGAAAAACAGTAACTGACAAATAGACTTAAAAACATTAAGCCAAATGAAGCTACGGGCTCCTGCTTGTCTATTGATTGCAGTGTCCACCTGCTCCTGTATGTGCAGCAAAGTCACAATATTTTGTTTGCATGGCCCTGGCCGTTTGTCAGCTCCCTGTAACTTCCCCTTTCACAATCCTGACACTAGGTGAGATGATTAACTCTTCAGAAGCACTTTGGTTGCTTGCTGAACCAACCAGACGAAGCCTCAGGCTTTCAGTGAGTGGCTCAGAACTCCTATGGCTCAGAACTCTGGCTGTTCATCAGTCTCCATGGCAACACTGAAGGCAGGGATGCAGTCTGCAGCTCACTATACAGAATGCCAGCCTAATCAGAAGGCAGGGCCTGGGTAGAGTAATCCCTATTCTGGTATATTCACCAGGGCCATGCCCTATGTCCTTCCATGGCCCTGATGAAGAAACTTGATTGTTTCTGGACATTAAGTTTGTGTTTGGTAGCCAGCAAACTTTGCAAGGCATTGCTCGATGTTCCTAAGCTGCCAACTATCTATGACCCGAAATTTATAGAGGAGTGTGTCGACTCCCATAATGAATTTCGAAGCAAAGTCAAGCCCTCAGCAGCTGATATGAATGAGTTGGTGAGAAAGGGACCGGGATGCTGTTGAAAACAAAGAATTTAAGCAGGATAAGGCACTTAAATCAATTGTTCTGTTTGTATTTTAACTGTATCTCATATTAAATAGGCATAACGTTTCTGTTCCAGACCCAGGCAGTCATTCCTTGTCTAAGTCATGACCATTGGGGAGACCTATAGAAACAAAGGTTATTGATGTTCCAAGGGCCTGAAGGACCACTGAAATGTGGTCTAGTTTCATTGTTGACTTTGACTAGGAGGGACATCAGAGACCATGAAAAGAGATTATTGGAGGAGGTTGTTAATAGGAGTAATGCTGATATAGTATGTTGTTGTTTGCTGCAACTTCGGGCGATTAAACACTAACCACACAACTCAACAAACCCAAGTGGTGTTTATTGGGAAAGGGAGCAGTTTAGAATGAGGCTCAGCGGTTGGGGCAATTGAAACTGGAGTCATGGAGCTGCCCCTGGCCCAGCTCCGAGTGGCCCCAGCTCACCAGGTTTCTGTATACAGAGTCCTTACACAGTCCTTGAAGACACTCAATGCACATAAGATGTAACCATGCAGCACAGGGCCCTTTGAGCCGGCTAAATATCTGCCTGTGGGTTGGTTAGGTACCCTGCCAGTTGTCAGGGGGTGGGGTCAGCATTATGCCAGGATATCAACATAGGGAAGAATGAATATCAGGTGTCAATCCAACTAGCCAACAGACGGTGATGGACAGGAGTTCTACTCAGAAGAAAGCCCCTTAGTTGCCTGGCGGTGGTGGCGCACGCCTTTAATCCCGGCACTCGGGAGGCAGAGGCAGGCGGATCTCTGTGAGTTCGAGGCCAGGCTGGACCGACAACCTCCAAAACAATACAGAGAAACCCTGTCTCGTAAAAACCAAAAAAAAAAAAAAAAAAAACAAACCCTTAGTAGTTAAAGTACATGCCTGATGTCTTAATTTGATTTTTATTGCTTGAATAAACACTGTCACCAAAAGCAACTTGGGAAGCGAAGGGTGAGGTGACGTTAGGACAGGGACTCAAGGCAAGAATCTATCGTAAGGCAGAAACTGAAGCGCAAGCATAACGAAATGCTGCTCAGTGGTTCTCTTCCCTTGGTGTGCTTTCTTACACCACCCAGGACCCTTTGCCCTAGTCACCTGGCAGCTCTTACATCAATCATGAGTCCAGAAAATGGCCTAAAAACGTGCTATAAGCAATCTGATGAATGCATGTTGTCACTTAATGTTCCTCACTTTAGATAACACTAGCTTATATCAAGTTAACAAAGGAAAAAAGCAAACAAACAAAAACCTAACCAGGACCTCTAGGTAGAAAAAAGTAAGTGGTTAGCCATGGTACAAAAGAAGAAATTAAAGCAGGAGAAAAATAGCAAAAAAAAAAAAAAAAAAACTATTGCAAAGAGAAGTAGACTTGAGGCAAAGAGAGTTGAGCTGAGGCCTCTGACATTAGCGCTACAGCTGTGCTCTGTTTTCCAAGGACAGGTACAGCTTAGCGGCCATTGTTGGTCTTTACAAAGACCAGGTTGGGGAGGGCCCTTGGACCTTGCCCTGACTACTTTCTGCATCCACTACTTCCTGCTCACCATGAAAAATCTCCTGACATTTGCCTCAGGATAGGCCCAGAAACATGGCACCAACTGACCATCAGGCCCTGAACCCTCGAAATGTTAGTTCCCAAGTATTTTCTCTTTTAAGTGGTTTGTTTCAGGTACTTGGATGTAGTAATAAGAAAATAACTAAAACAATAAATATTTTTTAAATGGTGTCTTCCCTAAAGAGCTGAAATTAATTTACTTTATTACATGTGTTAGAATGACTTTCTTGTAAACAAACTAATCAATTTAATTTTTTCTATTCTTTCAGATTTGGGACAATGAGTTAGCAAAAGTGGCCAAATCATGGAGTATACAGTGCAAGTTTTTCCATAACCCCTGTACTAAAAAACGATATGCATGCATTGAGGGTCATGACTTTCTGGGAGAAAATGTATATGTAGGTGAAATACAAAGTACACCAAAACAAATTATTTCTTCTTGGTATAATGAAAGTGAACATTATAATTTTGAGAATACGACTTGTTCTAAAATTTGTGGCCATTATACACAGGTAGGTACTTGATAGGTCATTAGAGTTAATTCTTGTTCTCATTTTAGTTACAAGAAATATTTTTAAGTGTTTCCTTTTACATTCATTTTTTAAAAACTCCACTTTCTTAAAAAAGCCATGTACTGATATAGTGTTTCCGATCTTTAAAAATGCTCCTCTGCTGCCATTTTCTCTACATTACTTACAAGAAGAAACCTGCTGTGATGGTCTTGTTCAGCCCTGTGGCTTTTCCACACCAATGACTGCGTTCACATCTTTCCAGTATTGACCAGCTTTACATAGGGCGCCCAGGCCACCTTCACATTGTACTATAGAATCTTGAGCTTAGCATTTAAGTCTATAGATCAAAACACATTTGTAACATATGGGTTGCTGTTTCTTACAATAGTTCTGCTCCCTTTCCTCTTCCTGGTGCCCTGCTACCAATATTGGAAGTATGCTTGAGCCTTGCCAGTTTGATGCCTCTATTATGTTTATGGAATTGTTTTTCTCTGAGCTCAATTTGATGACTTCATTATTGTGTCTTTAACTCACAATCATTTCCCCTGTATGCCAATGTCGCACCAATTTAAAATAGTTTACTTTCTTTTTCTTTGTGAAATTAAAATATAATTACATCATATTCCCCCATCTCTTTCTTCCCTCCAACACTTCTCCTGTACTCCGGCTAGAAATTTCTTTTAAATTTCCAATTTTTTTGCTTTGTTTGTTTGTTTGTTTTGACAAGGCCTCACTATGTAGCCATGGCATGCCTAGAACTCTCTACGTAGACAAGGCTGGCCTCAAAATCACAGAAATCCATCTGCTTCTGCCTCCAAAGTGTTGATATTAAAGGTATGAGTCACCAAACCCAGCTGTCTTAGTATTTCTAATGAAGATACCTAATATATCCAGTCTCTTGTTCAGATTTTGATGTGTAAAACCTAGCAGTAATCAACATTTTAGTGTTTTCACTGTTGTAGCATTTGTTAGCTGTGTGCCCATTTAAGTAGATTGATTCTTGCCTTCATTATGACTCAGATATTTGTATTTCTAATCATGTTTTTATCAATGTCACTATATGCCAAATAGATTAAAGTTTACCTTGTGTACCACTTTTAGAGTAAACCTATAAATATTACTGAGTTAATATAGTGCCACTAAGTTGAGCTACTAAAAACTTGTTTGCTCCTTTGAGTTTCTGCTTTTAAAATATGGGATATAACATGAAAGAAATGACGATTTTAAGGCTAATTATGTCTTACTATTGAATCAAGACTTTTTTGAATACCAGTCACATATGAATTACGAAGTGTCCCAATATGGAGCATGGAGACAATCTTTGCTCCTGGTCTCTAATTCTTATGGATGGGTCTATCCTGAGCTTGGAGTATCTTCTCCACATGCATGCTCTTAATACTTTCATGAGTAGATGAGAATCTCTTCCTATCACCACAGTATTTTGACCACCATAGTTTTGTTCCCTCTAAAATCTCTGCCTACATTTTCTCCCTAGACTCGCAGTTCAGACTTTCTGAACTATGTAAATTCTTCAGGCTATTTCTGGTTTCCCCCTCCTCATTGTGCTCTGGAGAATCAGAAGCCAATAAACTGACTGCAGTTGCATAGGTCATCTATTGTCCCCATTTTTTGCTTCATTAACTTTACTAGCTGATTCCCAAGATCTTAAAAACACTATTTTTTACACCTTTACTTCTTATTTTTGTGGCTGCACATAGAAATATAAATCTGTCCTGATTTCTACCTATCAATGAGCAGGTGAAATGTATTTTGGCCAAGCCTTACTTCTAGCCATGTTACATAAGATGCTAAAGCAACAGAAGTAGCTAATTAGTTTGATCACACTCACTCATCCATCTAAGCTGAAATAACATTTAGTGTCTTACCAAAATCATTTTGTTAGGTTACACCATTTAATGAGTTGTTTATGTCCTTGTCAAAGAGAACCAGTTCCTCTTGGTATCAGCAGGGTGGAGCACAGTGGCTGGCACTTATCTGCTGCTCTATAACTAACTGCCTTTTAAAGAAGTCTGTGAATATCAAAAACATGTTGAGCATTCTGGGTTTTTATCATTGATTTGGTGAAGCAGGAAACTTGCAGCTTCTGTGTTTTATGAACTTCTGTTTTCTCTTTAGCAACAGGATGCTATTTTATGTCTAGACATTCTGCCGGGCAGTAGAGTAAATGCTGTTGGTAAAGACAAGCTTTTCTGTTGCTAGGATGACTAGGAGAATGGGTTCTGTAGTCAGACTTTTCTTTCCCACCAGCCAGTTCCCAAATAATCACACTGAGACTTAATGATTAATGATAAATGCTCAGCCCATATCTCGGGCTTGTTACTAGCTAACTCTTACATTTTAAATTAACACATATTTCTTACCTACACTCTGCCACATGGATCAGTACTTTTTCTCAGTGTGCTATGTTTGTCTCTTGTTTCCTTTGCATCTCCTCAGGACTCCAGAGACTCTTCCTCTTCTTCATGCTCTCTGTTTGTCTGCCAGTATTACCTAACCACCTGTCCAACCATTGACCAGTCAGCTTATTAAGTAACCGAACCACAATGACATATATTCGCACAGCATAAAGGAATAGTCTACAGAGCTCCAATGTCAAGTGTACTGATCAAAAGAAGACAGACATACACCTAAAATTCTGAGGTCAAGCCTTTGTGCTCTCCCCTGTTGCAATGAAAAGAGAACACATTCTCAAATATCCCTTACATCTTAAAACTGTTATGTCAGGCATGTGGGATTATTCTTCACTGGCATGTACACTTAAGTGGAATAACAACATGAAACCTGGACCATTTCTTCTTCACCAAATCTCTGATAAAAAGCTATTAAATAACTGGGAATAGATGCATTCTTCTTAATAGTTCAACAACTGTGTCTTGATAAATGTTTCTTTCCTTAAAGTAAAACTGGTTAAAAATGGCTTGCATCTGTCATTCACTTATTTCATATTAAAGTTGAATTCAAATTATGTGTAAGTTTTATGTCTAGTCTACTTCATGAAAGAGCCATACCTCAAAGCTATCTGATAGCAATACATGTTCACCATTCTCAAACCTAAAAATAGCACATTTAATTAATACTAAGCCAGGCTGGGGGATAAATGTTTAAGAGCACTTTTATGTGGAAGCATAAGGACTTTGTTTTTAATCCCTAGAAACCATTTAACAATCTGGGCATGTCCATCTATGACTATAAGCCCAGCACTGGTAGGGATTTATGGGGCAGCATAGCAGAGACAGGAGGATCCCTTAGGCTCTCTGGCCAGACAGACTTCAACATGCTTTTAATAAGAAACACTGTTTCCAGATACTATGATAGAGAACAATAAAACAGAAACCTAACATATTCTTGCTTCCATGTGTGCATAAACCCATGAACCTAAACATACATGAGAAAAAACGCAACACATGCAAATATTCTGAGCAAATAGAACTTGGTAGTCCAGATCTTAATAAGTCAGATTCTAAATATTAATTAAAAATATATATACTTGCATTTGTTCTGTTTCAAAAACTTTTTAATATTCAAAATGAACAGGGTCCCTTTCATAATTAGCCTAATCTTAATTTTATTAAATGAGAAACTAGCTCAGAAAAGATCTGCCACTCTGAGACAGTTATGAGCTGTGCTGGCTCTCAGGCAGCCAAAGATCCATTCAAACGTGTAGCAAAACAATGAATCACAGCTGTACCTCAGCCATGAGAAAAAAACTGACTGGCATCTCAATCTGTGAAGTACTTTCCTTCATTTTGTTAATGAAACTAGAAAGTTTAAAAAGAAAGTCTGTTGAGTCTACTTCTCTTCGGGGGATGCATACAATATCTCCTGGTCTTTTCATTTGGAGAATAGGAGATATTCAATTCTATATTGATGCAAGTGACTAGAAATATTCATCATGTCTTCAGCTCTTTCTTATGGTCCATTTCCCATACAAAGCTTCTTCTTTGTAAATTACTTTCCCTTGCAACTTAAAAAATATTAAAGTTTGATATTCTTTTCATTGACTTAAAAACAAAAAATTTCACATACTCTTATCCATACCTGTCTGTGACTTGACAAAGGGAGGATTATATTCAAAGCTATGCACTTTAAGTTGCACAATCAATTTAACGACACTTTTTCTTAAGAACAAAGTAAATTGTTGTTTTCATTCCTATGCTGATTTTGATGCTTCTTGTAATATGCCCATGGAGAAAATTAAAATATTTTTTCTAAGTTATCCAGAAGAAATTATGATTTCAACAATGGGTTATATTATGATTGTGTTATTAAGTTATCCTTTTGGTTTATGATTATATAACTGAAAGAAAACCATTTAGATTGTCCTTATGAAAGCTGCCTTAACAAAATGTGTTAATGTGTTAGATATTAGGAAAAATGTAATAAACATATATATTTTAGGATAATTAATATTATACATATTCTCATAATGAATTGTGTACATGTATTGTTTTAATATGTTACTTCTTAATTCCTTTTCTTATAGATGGTTTGGGCCAACACGCTTACAGTTGGATGTGCAGTTTCAAATTGTCCTAATCTCTTGGGACATTCAGCTGCACTATTTGTATGTAATTATGCACCACCGTAAGTCAACATGCTAAAAAAATGTTCTAAGTTGATAACAAATGTTTACAAAGATGGGTGTGGTAGAGCTCACCTTTAATTCTAGTGCTCAGGAGGCAGAGGCAGTTGGATCTCTGAGGTCCAGGCAAGCTTTGTCTACATAATGAGTTCTAGGCCAACCAGTGCTACATAGAAAGATCCTGTGTCAAAACAAAAGAACAACAACAACAAAAACCCCAAATGTATTTGTGCAGTCTCCCTCTGCAAAACTAATTTTAACAGTGGAAATAGAATGGCAACAGAGTGTTGCCTAAATGCAAAACCTCTCCTCTCGGGAACTATTTCAACATAAGAGTAGAAATGATAGAAATTGTTTCTTAAGTTTACATGGTAGAGCCTGGGAAGATGGCTCAACCAGTAAAAGGTTTGTCTTGAAATCATTAGGACCTGAGTTTGGTCCCTAACACCCATGGAAAAGGCCTGGCACATTGAACATACCTTAACACTGCTACTGCTAGTACCAAATGGGCAGAGTCAGGAAGATCCCTGGTGCTTGCCGGCTTAGCCAATCAAGCCAGTCAATGAGTCACCAGGTCAGTAGAAGACTGTCTCAGAAAACATGCTCCAGCGTGATTGAGAAAGATGCCCAACATTGGTCTCTACACACATGAACACAGAGGCAAATGTAATAGAAGATAAACTGCCATAAGATCACCTAAATGTAAAACACAAAAAAGCTAGCAAATGCGCTGGACGTTGGTAGCGCATGGCTTTAATCACAGCACTCAGGAGGCAGAGGCAGATAGATCTCTGTGAGTTCGAGGCCAGCCTGGTCTACAGAGCGAGTTCCAGGACAGGTTCCAAAACAATACAGAGAAACCCTGTAAAAAGTTAGCAAATGCAGCTCAAGAGCACTTGTCCTGAGGAAAGAATGTAATTTCTAAATGTTCTGTGGATGAGTTCTTACTCAAATTAATATATAAACACAGTAAGACCTAAAAATGAAATTTTAGAACTCTAACCAAATATCTACTAATATAAAAGGGATAGTTAAACGGGTAATAATGTGATTCTTCAACAAACAAAAGTATTTGCAAACAAAAGAATAAATACATAGAACAGATGGAAAGAAGGAAAGATATAGTATAGAGAAGTGGAAATGTGGTCTATTGCTGTTATTTCTCCTTTCACTGAGCAGCGAAAGCAAGAATGACGAATACTGCCCCAAAAGCTCAGGTTGAATACAGTTTCTCCTAATAGCAAAGGAGGGTGCAACTGCTGTCATGCAGCATCATATTCTTAAGAAGAAATTAAGAAGGACTAATCATTGATCAAAATCACTAAGGACACTATCTCTTAAAACTCAGGCTTTTGGAAATAAAGAGGGTTGGGGAAGAGAGAAAAGAGGGAGAGAAAGATAAAGGAAGGGGAGAGAAAGAAAAGTAAGGGTCAGGGAGGAGAGAAAATGAAAGTGTTGATGGTTTCTTAGTACACAGGAAATGAGTCTTCTAGTGAACAATAGATGCTGCTATTTTTTTCTTTTTTGACATCTGTGACTTACTGAAAGGCAGAAACAGCTTGCATAAATGTAGGTTAAAAAAAATAAAAAGCATCATTGGCTCATGAATGTCCTTCATTTTTGCAGAGGAAATGAAAAAAACTACAGTCCTTACATAAAAGGAGAACCCTGCTCCCTGTGTAAAAGAGATGACTGCCGGAATAATCTCTGCCGTAAGCAAAAAGGAAAAAATAATACATCATATTTAGACAGTAGTGTTTCCATAAATTCATTATAATTTTTTACATCTGGCCCCTTCTGTTTTTAATTTCTAGATGGCTTGCCTGTTCCTATGAGAATGTAAAAAATATATAAGAATATAATTTGTATATATAAATTATATATGAATCCATTTAGTTCAGATGATTACCCCCCTGTAGTTGGTTTTTTTTCTCTTACTCTTTTTGGGCTGCCTGCTATCCAGCTCCCAAATAAATCACACACCGAGGCTTATGTTTTTCTCATGAGTGCCCAGCCTTACCTTAGCTTGCTTCTGGCCAACTTTTCTTTTTCGTCTGCACTTTTACCTTTCTCTATTTCTGTGTACCTTTCTTCCCTTCTTACTCTGTGGTTGCTGTGTGGGTGGGTGACTGGCCCCTGATGTCCTCCTTCTTCTTGATCCTCAATCTTCCCTTTCCAGATTTCTCCTCCTATCTATTCTCTCTGCCTACCATTCCCACATACCCTTCCCCCCTGCCTGGCTATTGACCATTCAGCTCTTTATTAGACCAATCAGGTCTTTAGGCAGGCAAAGTACACAGCTTCACAGAGTTAAACAAATGCAACAAAAAGAATACAACACATCTTTGCATCATGAAAAAAAAAGTTCCACAGCATAAACTAATGTAACTATCTTCAAGTAACATTCCACAACAACTGCCTCCACTAATATTTCCCCTTTCAAGCAAAAAGGCAAAAAAAAAATACAACTGGACAGAGTTGGCTTCTGTGCTCAAAGCAGCTATTGGCTGACATGTTTATTGGCATACTAGAGCCGGCATCATTGACTTGCCGTTACTAGAATAGTGACTCATTCAGCGCTAAAACAAGTCTCCATCATAATTATGATTCTTCCATCATCAGCTTTTCTGATTAATTTTGCTGTTTGACAGCTTCACACCTCTATATAATCCACTCTGATTACCCTACACCTCCACATTCTCCCTCTCATCCCCATCAAACCACCCTCATCCCTACCACTTCCTTCCTCACACTCATGAATTACACTTTTATTTCATGAGCCATTTACTTTAACAAGAGTCCTCTCTGTGACCACTGGACTGGGAATACCCATTGGAGCCTGTTGAGGTCATCAGTGCGTACACAATTGAAGGCAGTGATTCCCTCGTTTCTTGAACCTACCAGTAGAATGTAGTTCAGGGGCAGGGGGTAGGTCCCTTGACTCCTTCTTCCATTCTACTTGACTGTTGAAAAGCCTGTTGTTTTGGAGACTCGCTGTAGGTATAAATAGCTGCTGAGAGTTATTAATGCAATGACTGTGTTTAGTCCAAAAGATGATGTTTCTTCTCTCTTCTCCTTAGCTTCTAACTCTTATACTCTTTCCTCTCACTATCTGCAATGTTGCTCATCCTTGGAATGTATGAGTAAATGTCTTGTTTAGGACAAAGCGCACTTCTCTCACAATAGTGAGTGGGGGGTAGTGAATAAACAGAAAAAAATGAATTTCTAGCATGCACATGATACTATTAAAATTCAAAACTGAGGAGAAACTTCAGATGTGGAGAGATGAATTTGGAATAAATACCACTATAGGAATACAGATCATATTTAAAACTTCACATAAAAAATTGAATTTTCTTCAGAAACTTAAACTGGGTATGGTGGAGTGTCAAAATTAAGTTAATTTTTTGTGGTTTTGCCTGTTTTAGATATTTATGCCTCTAACACAAGAGGCAGTCTAGAAACATGTACTGGCATGACACTATTGTTGGTCAACATTATAAAGATATTAGTCTAGCAAGTTTTGAAAGTTTTTGTGTTTTTAAGTTCAAGCATCTTCTATAACTTGATTACCTAATTTTAAAACCTAGAAGAACCAATCAATGTTTTTCAATTTATGTAGCATTTCTTTCATTAAAACTCCATAAGTTATATGTGAGAGTACAAATAAAAACATTTCACTTTGGTTTTTTTATTTTTGAAATTAAATTGAAGGTTTAATTGTGTTTTATTGACAGAATTCTTAACTGAGAAAGCAACTCAACCTCGAGCATGCCACCTACTCCTGCTAGGTTTTATTCTTCACAGAATATTTTAATAGTTATTTCTATTCAGAAGAAATTTTTAAATGCTACAATAAAGACTATTTTCTGACTAATTAGAACTCTAGTTCTGTTTAGTTCCCCATTACATTTTCTGAATTCTTATCTGAAACTTAAATTCAATGTCTACTTTTCTATTCAAATAGGATATATATATATATATACTTAGAAGCAGTGGAATAAAGTTAAGGTATTTTTATTTTTAAGGATGTTTGCTGATAATGCAACACAGACATAATGTATGTAAGCCTGTGTGAGGGGGTGTGCACATGTGGAGACCAAATGGATGCTGGGAGGGGTGGCAGCCCCTAATACCACTATGTAGGAGGGAGAGACAAAGTATTATGGGAGCAGGCTGGCTAGTTAAACTTCAGTTAGCAAGCTAGGAGTTTAACTGAGATACCCTGCCTCAATATAGAAGATAGAGAGCAATACAGGAAGACATCCCCTGTCAACCTTGAGCTAACAAGTACATCCATACACGTGTGGACACACATACACCAAAAAAGAAGCAGAAAAGACAATGGAAGTGGGCCAGTGGTGGCACATGCCTTTTGTACCAGCATTCGGGAAGCACAGGCAAGCAGATCTCTGTGAGTTCGAAGCCAGCCTGGTCTACAGAGCCAGTTCTAGGACAGGCTCCAAAGCAATGAAGAGAAACCCTGTCTCGAAAAGCAAAACAAAACAAGTAAAGTAAATGGATTGAGAAAAAGAGTCAACAAAGTTGAAGTATATACTCCTACTATGCAGAGAAGAAAATCTTACCTTTGTGTATTTTCAGCTTTATGCCTTGTTTGTTCTCATTCGTTTATGTTTATGAACATAAAAATATTTTTAAGTTTTCTAGTTTTCATAAAATTCTAATAGCTAAATTAAACTACTACAAGAGGAAATAGAAATTCTGAATAGGCATATGCTTACCAAAAAAAAAAACTGAAGAAATCATCAGTTAATTTCCCAAACAGAAAGTATCAAGCCCAGATAAATTCACTAGTAAAATTTAACAAACTTTAAAGAGTGCTATTATATGATAAATATTTCATACCCCAATAATAGATTTCTCTGCCAATGCAGTAAACTAGGCCATTTTAAATGAACAAAGCACTCCCAGGTGACTTTCCAGCCCCCAGAGGGAAGGCAGAGAGAAGGAACCAGGTGAAAATACATTGCAGGTCTACACAGGAGATTTACAAACCCTGTAGGCATGGTCTTAAACTTCAGAGGAGGAGCCTGGGATTTTGGAGGTCTTTCTACAGGCCAGAATTTGGAAAGGGAAGAGTGTGGGTGAGGCGGAGGTCCTACCAGAAAATTATACATAGGCAGAAGCTGCTGAACCTCTGAGTTTGAAGCCAGCCTGGTCTATAGAAAGAATGCCAGAAAAGCCAGAGATACACAGGAGATCCTGTCTTGAAAACAAAACAAAACAGAGTGCTATTAGAAAAGTGGCCTACCATCATTTGTAGAAGACAAAAAAGAAAAGAAAAGAATTCCCAGCTTAGTCTATCAGGCCATAAATTTTTGCACACAATACTCAATAGCTAAGAAAAGAATAAAAGGTATATCAGACCTGTGAATCACTCTACACTTGGGGTACAAACTAATGTCTGATCAGTAAATAAAGACACAGCCTTCAGTGTCAAAGATCAACTCTAGATAAGGCTCAATTAGCTTTGTGAAAAACATGTACTCCTTTAATTCAAGTCTGACTTTGGTCAATCAGCAGACATTTATCATGAATTTTTTTAAAGCCACCCAAGAGGTTCTAAGATTTTAGAGCAAAATTGGGAAACTAATTATCTGCCTGTGTCCTCTGCCTCATGAGCTTATTCTTCTTATACTCATCTCTCAAGGCATTATGTATTTTGATACTACCAGGGTAGACTAAAGAAAATATTTCTACCATACTGTATAATTAGTAATTGTGTAATAATGTAAAAAAAAACTCACAAACATTGCTTGTTAAATATACTCAACTTGTCAACAGGTACAAAATAAAAATCAAATGAATGCATCTGTCCTCAAAATTTTACATAGTTTTATTTTTATTTCATATTTATACTATCATTGATACAGTTTTCCTTAAAGGCATGCACTAGATGGGGCCTTGGAGGTTAAGCACACAGGGTTCTATCTTCACAGGAAGGAATGTAAACAAAACCTGTTTTCTGCACACAGGAGCCAGAAGTTTGGCAGATGTGCTTTCAACCCTGGTGACTATATGCTATCTGTGTGTCTAAAGACATTTCTGCTTCTGGACACTCTCCAGACCCTTATATTAAATGTTCCTCAGTCAGTCCTAACTTATTTTCCCAGTGATTCTTTAGACCCCATCTTTATAGACTTAACAGTTTTGAGGTAGCGTGTCTGACCTCTATTTAGCTTACTTTTTCCCTCAATGAGATTTTATGTATATTTTGTTATGTGCACAGTACTGACTTAACCCTTATCAGAATGAGTTCATCAAATTGTTTTGCGCTTAAATATATGTCAAATAAGCCACTCAGGGTCAGGCTCCAGAAGCTTGAACCAACCCTGGCTGCAGAGTCATGCTGAACAGAGGTCACTCCTCAGGTCAGAGTCACGCTGAACAGAGGTCACTCCTCAGGTCAGAGTCATGCTGAACAGAGCTGTCTTCTTGCCTCCTGCAGCTGGTCACTCAGGTGCTCTTAAGTTCTCAGGAACTGAAACTCCCCACATGTAATGTTCTTTCATACTTTCTTATATCAAACTGGGGGTTATTTTCAGTTTTATTTGCTTTTTAAAAGGACAGGATGGCAGTGTCTGCTTCAGTCAGATAAGCTTATACTAAAATTCTGACTTTTACTGAGTTCCCATGACTGAAGAATTTAAGCTCTTTAAGTCCATGTTCATAATGTGTAAAACAAGGTGAACATTAGCATCTTTCTCACCCTGATGGAATGAGGTAGCATTTAGTAGATGACAAGTATCACTGTTATTTCAAGCCCAGTGTAATCTAATGCCAATTCTTTCGTACCTTATCTTTTTTGTTCTCCCCACCACAAAGATGCTTCTCCTCGAAAAATCACTCACCATAGGCCAAGAATCCCACTCCAATAGAAAATTCAGGGAGTCTCCCTGCATCGCAGTCTTGGTGACCCTATGCCCTCTGGTTGAGGTGAGTCTGGGTTCTGCCTAGGCCCAACTCCCCCCATCCCCTCCTTGGAACTTTCTGGGTCTGCTCTGCATATAGTGGACCTGCCCCCATCAGCCTGGACTATACAGAGTCTGCCCACATCACAGTCTTGCCCCCTCCATCCCCTCAGCCTGAGCTTGATCTTGAGTCTTGGCCCCCTATGCCCTCTGCATGAAGAAAACACTTGGAGAGGCTGGACTATCCAGAGTTGCCAACATCGAACTCTTGGCCCACCTGCCCCCACTGGAAGAAGGGATGGGAAGATGAAGTATAAGAACACATTCAACAACAGAAAGACCAATGTGATACTACCAGAATCTAGGGACTCTATACCAGCAAAACCCAAACATCCCAACACAGAGGAAGCAGAAGAGAAGGACCCTTAAAACAACTTTATAAAGATGTTAGAGACCCTCTAAGAGGAAACAAGAAAACCCCTTAAAGAAATGGAAGAAAAAAATTAACAAAAAATGCAGGGAATGTAGGAAAAGACAAACCAAAAAATTCAAGAAATAAACAAATCTCTTAAAGAAAGCAAGGAAAGCCAAGAAAAGCCAACCAAACAAGTGAAGGAAACAACTGAAGGAGTTCAAGGCTTGAAAGCTAGGATAGAAACAATCAAGAAAACATGCAATGAGAGAATGCAAGAAATAGAGAATCTGGATAAATGATCAGGAACTATAGATGTGAGTATAACCAATAGAATACAAGAGATGAAAGAGAAAATCTCAGGTGTTGAGGACTCACTAGAAGAAATAGCGTCATTGACCAAAGAAAATCTTTAGTTCAACAAATCCCTGAAACAAAATATCCAGGAAATATGGAACACCATAAAAAGGTCAAACCTAAGAATAATAGATATAGAGGAAGTCTAATAAATACAGCTCAAGGGTACAGGAAACATATTCGACATAACCATAGAAGAGAACTTTCCCAACCTAAAGAAAGATATGCCTATAAAAATACAAGAAGCTTACAGAACAACGAATAGACTAGACCACAAAAAAAATCCCCTTGCCACATAATAATCAAAACACCAAACTTACAGAATAAAGAAAAATATTAAGAGCAGCAAAGGAAAAAGGTCAAGTAACATATAAAGGCAGATCTGTCAAAATCACACCTGACCTCTCAATGGAAACTCTGAAAACCAGAAAGTCTTGGACAGATATTCTACAAAGACTAAGATATCACAGATGCCAGCCCAAACTACTATACCCAGAAAAGCTTTAAATCACTATAGATGGAGAAAACAAGATATTCCACGACAAAACCCAACTTAAACAATACATATCCACTATTCCAGGCCTACAGAAAGTACTGGAAGGAAAACTCCAACCCAAGGAAGTTAACTACACTCACAAAAACATACGCAATACTTTACCAAAAGCCAAAAGAAAAAAGGGGGGAAATTCACACACAATACCAACAACAACAAATCAAAAACAAATAAGAATTAATACTCAATGTTCCTTAATATTCCTCAATATCTATCGTCTTAACTTGCCTATAAAAAGACATAAGCTAACACAATGGATACAAAGACAGAATCCATCCTTCTGTTGCATACAAGAAGCACGCCTCAATGTCAAAGACAGACAATAACCTCAGAGTAAAGGGTTGGGAAAAGATTTTCTAATCAAATAGACCCAAGAAACAAGCTGGTGTAGCAATTCTAATACCTAACAAATTAGATTTCAAACTAAGATCAATCAAAAGAGATAAAGAAGGACATATCATATTCATCACAGGAAAAGTCCAACAAGATGAAGTATCAATTCTGAACATCTATGCCCCAAATATGAAGGCACCCACATTCGTAAAAGAAACATTACTAAAACTTAAATCACACATAAAACTCCACACACTTATAGTGGGAGACTTCAATACCAGACTCTCACC